TATTAAAATTGCCACGAAGTTTGTACCATCCAGAAGGAAATGTCGGAGACCCTATGAAATATTTTTATAAATTATCCGCTTGGCGAGCTGAGTCGATTTAGACATGTCCTTCTGTATATACGCGAACTAGTCCCACAGTTTTTGAGATATCGATCGGAAATTTTGCACACGTATTTTTCTTCCCATGTAGCTGATCATATATAATGCAATTGGCGATCAAAATCAACTTGTTATACGGGAAATTTTTTTATTTTCCTAGGCAACGCTACAATTTGAATGACCCATAAAAATCATTGTCATAAAAGATCTTTTTCTTTATTAAGTACCCTTAATTTGACTTGAATACTGATTATATCAAACAACGTGGGTAAAAAGAACTACCAAAAACGATTTCCGTTGAATGCAAACCGTTACCGGTTACGTTTTCAGATTTAGTAAGAGGAGAAGCTAGAAGAACTTACTCTCACCAAATTTGGTTGATATAACCTTAGTTGTTTATGAGTTATGTACCCTAACTCTATTATCTACCCTTTGGATTTTGTTGATTGATTATCTGCAGAAAATTCTGAATTCAATTCAATTCTGAATATTATTGCAGCTTTTTGGATCAGCTGGATGAAAATATTCGTGAGAAAATACCTAGTTTGCAGCACAAAAAATTAATTTTTTATAAAAACAGTGCACGTGCTCACAAAAGTGTTTCAACTGAAAAAATTCAACGAATTAAAGTACGAAATACTACCTCTTCAGAAATCCGAAACAATTTCTTCGTAGAAACCGTTTTTCGTCGAATGAAGAAGCTATAACCGCCGTAGACGAGTATTTGCAGAGCTTCCGGAAAGTCAATATAGGGTTGGCATAAAATTATTGAAGGATCATTGGAATAAGTGTGTTGAAGTTAGGGGAGATTATATTTAATATAAAAATATATTCCACACATTTCGAGCGCAAAAACTTTTCAACAAACCTGTATATACATATATGTAAAGATTAAAAGGGATGCAGTTATAAGTGCGAATTTCCACTAAGCGGAATATGGTCCGATCGTCCGATGGTTCTAACGAAGACTAAGTGGAAATAGGTGAGTTAGTATTCCAAACAACTGTGATATTCAGCCAATCATCGATATTGTAGCGTAGGATAAGGGTTATATAAAAAGTATGCTTTTGTTTTTAACTTCTGGCTTTCTTTTCATTAATTTTAAACACTTCTCATTCATGAGCTGCAATAAATACTTTATTTCTAATTGATAAATTCGCAAAAACGAATTTCTATATACCGATAAAAACTCGTTTGACCACGATGAATAATTGTCTCTTATATAGAGATATGTTGTTGACGCACCGTGGTAATGAGCTAAAATCTACAAAGGGTCTGGTTTTTAACGCTTGATATGGATAACAGCATTCTAACTGAAATTCCTCTTGTAGAAACCATGTGGGAATGGCACGACTATGGCCTACTTTGTTTTTATTTAAACAGAAATAAGCGCAATTACACCCTTGTTTTGCATCAATAGAATAGAATAGAATAGATTAATTTTGAGGTATGCACCGCGACCTAAGGTCTATTGTGCCCTCCCCTAAGTCATAACGACTCATCAAGCCCCAGCATGTTGATAAACTCCAATATTCTGCTGGGTGCTAGTGAAGTGATACAATCCCTGTTTGGAAACATGGATCGTAGGGCCTTGATTCTGCGTCTGCAGACTGCTGTGCAGTTCATGAGCAGATGTTGTGGGGTTTCCGGCTCCATGTCGCAGAACCGGCAGTTTGCAGAAGAGGCCCATTAGCAACCTGGCATGGTGCATGCCTTAAATTTGTTGCCAATGTATCTCCCTGCCTGCTCTTTCCTCCCTACGGAGCAGCTCTTTAATGGTATTTGGACCAACCGCTATGAATGGTTCCGGTCCTACCATGTTTGTAGAGGCTGCAGAGCGGGCCAACTCGTCAGCCGTTCTATACACTCCTTCACTAGAAGTGATTTGACCTCATAGGCAAAGATCACTTTTAGTGCCGTCTGACTATCGCTGAGAATAGCAATAATTCTATTGCGATAGTTGCGTTGGAGGTTTATCTCTGCACACTGATTTATAGCATAGACCTGGGCTTGGAAGATGCTCGGAAAACTTCCCATGATAACAATATCATCCGCATATCCTTGACAGCAGATTCCCTTGCTAGTTAGCAGCTCAAGGAGATCGTCCAAGACGAATTGTGGTATCTCCTACGAAGGTTTCAGCTACCCTAGTGCGCAGTCCGGCTGCAATCCATCTGCGTACCGGTGCTGCCACACTCCTTTTCTCCAGTGCTCTTGTGACGCTTTCGTGAGATGTGTTGTCAAAGGCACCTTTAATATCAAGGAAGGCGCATAACATCACCTCGCCCCCATCTTACGAACTTTGGATCTCCGAGGTGAGCTGATACAGGGCAGTATTTGTTGATCTGCCTGCCCTGTAAGCATGCTGCTATGCATGAAGGGTGAAGCTTTCAGCACCTTCGATCGTATTTCGTGGTCTATGATCTTTTCCATACTCTTAAGAAGGACGGTAGTAAGACTGATTGGCCTGAAGGATTTTGCCAATGCGTAGTCTTTCCTTCCTACTTTGGGAATGAAGATCACCTTTGCGGTGCGTCATGGTTCTGGGATATATGCCAGCGTAAGGCTATCCCTCACTAGCCGAACAAGGGGGGGCAGCAATACCTGCTCCTCCTGTTGCAGAAATGCTGGAAGGATGCCATCCGCACCCGCGGACTTAAATCTTTTAAAGGAGGCCAAAGCCCACTTGATAGAGTCTGCAGTGAAGAGCTGTTTTGCGACTATCCAATCTAAGCGTGATGGCTTTCGTTCAGATCTTTTAATTGCTAGTACTGTGTCCGTCTTGCCTCTGGCCAGAGCCTTATGCAGCCTTGCTGCCTCTGGCGTTGAGAGACGCTTTCACAGAACTTCTTGAAGCTCTTCTGCTTGGCTGTCCTAATCTCCTTATTGTAAGCAGTTAGGCTGCACCTATAGTCCTCCCATTTTTTCAGCTGCATCACCCTCGGTGGTAGTTTTAGGCTTAAATGGATCACCGAACTGAACCTGCAGTTCAGGCGGAAGATCACTCTCCGGACGAATTTATACGATTCGTCGTCTATGCAGAGATTGAGCCTCCACCCTGAATCCTCGGCCTCGCTACTGACCACCCGACAGGCCGATGTGCTGAGGCCCTCATTCTGGTTCCGGATGAGCCCGAGAGCAAATTCGTACGGCTTGTCTGCGCACCTGGGTAGGAATACCGTCATGCTATGCATGGGCGGAATTTCGTCCCCCTTCTTTGCGCAGAGGATGGGGCCATGCCAGCCTGCCAGCTTGGGAGCGGTCTCCCTCAGCCAAATAGCCGACCTATCATCCTTGCAGTCAACCTGGCATGCTTCTTTGAAGTAAACCCCATGGAAGGAGGCTTTTTATCCAGACCCTCTGAACACCTCCTCCGACCCCAGCGTCTCCGCCGGGTAGTTCAGCGACAGCTCAGCCATACGAATGCCTTTGTGGGCCTCCGCATACCTGCGCTGTCCTTCCACAGCCCGGGGGATTTGCGGCGTCAGCTGTCCGCTTCTTCGTTTCGCCGCTTGAGTGGTCGAGGGAGCTGCCTTTTCGCAACCTCGCCCTGCGGCCTGAGTTGCACTTACTGGGCAGTGGCCTCGATTACCGCCATTTCGCTTCTTAATGGCCGCGGTATTCTTACCCTTCCGCTTGTTTGAAGCAGGGGAAGCACCGTCACCTCTCACCCTGTTACGCGCTAGTTTTTCGGCTTCCTCCGGATTTCTTCCCTCTTGGAGGTGCCTCAGGTACCACTTCAGGCTGGCACCTCTCACGCCTTTTCTTCTTGGATCATCCTGTCCTCCAGGACACCCAGTTGGTGGTAGGGGGAGGGTAGTTTGCCTCCCCTCTTCCTTCCACTTTTGCGAGCCCCTCCGGTGGACGCCCGTTGCGACTCCTCTGTGTCCGAGCAGTTTCTCCTGCTCGAGAGAGTCTTCGAGGGTTTCACCTTATCAGCACTGGCCGCAGTAGAAATCGCCTGCTGAGCGCCGCTGCACGAGGGCATGTCATTATCGTCATCCCTGGCATGCTCGTCGAACAGCGCACGCTCCTCTAGCAAAAGGGCGTCTAGGAAGCTGAACTTGTGCTCCCGATTCACTCTTACCTGTACCGTTACTTTTGTTTCCGTCCTTGTCCAAATTCGTTCGCTGTTGTTGTTGCCTAGTTCCATTGGTTTTTGTTGTTGTTTGTAGGTTATTCATCTTGTTCGTACGACCCTTGGCTCGACATGGCGAGCCGCCGAGTCGGCTTTTGTAGAGGGGAACAAAGAGTCCGCCGCGCCAGAGCCCCATGACGCGGTAAGGCCACCGTTACTTCCCAATGCGGCCAGGTGTTGGGAAGGCTCCGTTAGACTACAGCCGAATTTACCTCCTGGCTGCAAATCATCCAATGGGCACGGGAGTCGCATAACACCCTGGATTAGGAGGTGGCAGCTCTTGGTTGTCGCACGCATGCGTCTTCTGACATCCAGTGTGAGGGGTGCACGCACCACTCACCCCAGTTGGGAGATGCCGAAAATGCCTTGCGACTTAAGCCTCTGCACCACGGCAATGTGCCTGCCTTTCGCAGAGGCTTGCATCAATGCTTTCGAACAAATCATTGTCACAATTAGATGAAATAAATATTTATAACTAAAGTAAATGATCTAATCAACAAATTGCAGACTAAAGCATAATCGTGAGTCCAAAATGAAGATTTTAGTTAAACTTATTTGCGAACTGAGAGTAAACTGAGAGTAAAAAGGTAAGATATCACCCCAAAAGTTCTAAACAAATTGGAAAGGAAAATATTTAACATATTATTAAAGCCCTGATTCGCTAAAACCAAAACGAAGATGACTCAATTATCTTGCTATTTTAGTTTTCAATATATGTAATGTTATACACACCTTTTGTATTTTTCCTTCTGTCCTCATATAGCACCGACGAAGATGCTCGTCAAGCAATGATGCATGATCGTGATAAAATCAATGAGGTTCAAGTGCGTCTATTACTTTCGTCGCGAGCTGAAATGCAAAAAGTGATCGAAACTGCACGTCAGCAATCTCTCCAAGCCCTCAAAAATGCTGGTTCGGTACCAGCTATCAAAACCACTGTAGTCCCACCCTCCTTATCCAATCCGCAGCCACCAGTCATTACACCAAATAGTCTCCATAATATTCTTTCGAGTGCAGCACCATCATTTTTGACATATCAAAAGCAAGCTGGCATCACACTTGTAGAAACGCCAAAGGAGCCCAACACTAATGAATCCGTGAGTACACATCGCAGCAGTGTTGAAAAAACTCGCGATCGCCGACGTTCTACATCACGAGACCGTCGTCGATCACGTTCACATGACCGAAATGAACGTAATGATCGCAATGGCTCACGTCGTGGTCGACGGGATAGAAGTCGCTCTCGATCGCGAGATCGCGATTGGAAGAGTCGACGATCTAGTCGACGCTCAAGAAGCCCAGATCGTAGTCATGACAGAAATAGAGATCGCAGTCCAGATCGTAGTCGAAACTCTAGTAGAAGCAATATGAATAGAGAACGGGAAAGTGGAAGTGGCCAATTTAATAAATCCAGCACAGATTTACTTGGTACTAAATCGCATACTAAAATATTAGATATAAATGAGAGCGCTAGCGCCAAATTAGGAAGTATTTCGCCTTGGGGTATTCCTGGCATCAACTCTTATCAAACAAACAATTCAGATAACGTTGGTGGAACATCTACAAATAGTTCTAACCCATTTTCTATCGCTGGCTCCAACACCAATAATATTTTAAACCCATTTAGTGTGGGAACTGCCATTCCGGGCTTACGAGGTTCGCAGTTGGCAAATTCATACACCAGCAGCGTCGGCAATAAAAGTCCTGATTCCCACTCTAACACGAGCGCCGTAAATATACCAGCAGGCAGCGCCATTTCACCATTCCAAAGCTACTCCTCTTCGATTGTGACCCCCAATAATTACAGTATAAATTTTTTGAACTCTAATTCAAACAGTAGTGACTCACCTAAGACCTTTGCATTACAAAATCCCTACACGGCGGCGGTACAACAGGCCACATTGAATACAAACTCAACAGATTCCACCAGCTCTGTAAAGCGTAGCCCCACTCAACAGAACAACAGTACAATGTTCCCTGGGCTTAGCTTAATAGATAAGAAGTCAGATGTATCTTTGGCACAAGGTAATGCATCGGCAACATTGACGTCTAATTTCTCGTCAGTGAGTCAATTGTCACAAGAACCAATCGCATTCGCCAATACCAACCCTTATGCCCAAATGTATCCGAATCTCTTCGCACAGGCCGCTGCAGCTAGTATTGCCAAGCCAAGCAACATCTCTCAGAAATCAAGAGAGCCGGAGACGCAGCGTTCTAAAGAGCCAGTAAAAGAGAGTTGCTGTATCAAGGTGAGCGACATGTGTGCGAGTACCACATATAGTGATGTGCGTAAATTTTTCATGGGTCTTTTCATCCCACACAACGGTATCAAAATGATGAACGATAAGCATGGTCTGCGCATCGGCGTCGCTTATATAAAATTTTCACGAGCATCCAGTGTACATAAAGCATTGATGCGTAATAATTCCACGCTTAAGTCAAGAGCTGTAAAAGTGGAGATCGTGACTGATGAGGACTTCGAACAGGTGGAGGACAGTTATCGCCCCCAGGGACGATTTGACCGTAACAATGATCGTGGAGAGCGAAACTATCTCGATAATCGCGATGATTACGATCGTAATGACGATGACAACGATGGTGATACGAATAATCGTGGTGATCGAGTGTCGAGTTCCGACATTGAATTCAAATCGGCACCTTTTACCGTACTCTATATTGAAGATATACCATCATCGGCAGTTGAACACGATCTTATGCGCATGTTCTCATCTTACACCATTTTCGATATATTATTGACACCTAGTCGTGAAAATCGGCGAGAATTCAAAGGGCATGTGCTCTTCTCACGTGCCGAAGAAGCGAAAGCAGCTTTGGAGGACAAATCTCGGCATATGATTGGCTACCGCAAAGTGCGTGTTCGCCCAGCTACGGTCGATGAAATGGAAAGAGAAAAAGAGAAACTGCGTTTGGCTAACGAGCAATTGATAAAAGAAGAAGAAGCGCTCGCTGAAGCGGAAAGATTGAAAGAAGAGCAAAATCAAGGTGAAGATGATATGGATGTAGCGGATGACACGAGCAGTCTAGCGTGCACTGATGCTAATACCGACTTGCAGTTAGATGAAAATGCAGAACGTAATAATTCAACTGATTCTAAAAATACTAAAATACCAAGTCTTTTCGATATTGGTTCAGTAAGGGGTGATGATATGTCAAGAGGTGGTAATATACCAAGTGATCCCCGTCTGCGTCGACAAAAACCAAGCCGCTTTGAACCTTTAAAGCCCACAGACGGGATGAACCTGAACATGAATCTCAGCAACATGGGTATGGATGGTAATATGAGCCAAAATAACAACATAAATATGAACTCTCACATGAATATGAATAACAACATGGGCATGAGCAACAATATGGGTATGAACAGCAACGTGGGTATGAACAACAACATGGGTATGAACATGAATAATGGTGGGAATTTCATGGCGCCTATGATGAATAACAACAATAGAAACATGAACAGCAACAATTCGATGAACAACTCAAACGGCATGAATAATTTCATAATAATGAAAAACTGCGATTATAACACACGTATGAATGACATTGCTAATCTATTGCAGGGCGCATTTTTGCGTCTCAAACACATTGAGCCGTTACGTGGTGAACGCAATATGCCTACCGGAGAATTCATTGTCGAATTCCAAGATTCTCGTGATGCAGAAAGCGCCTTACATCAATTCAACAACACCACATTTCGTCAACGAAAACTTCGTATACGATCCATCATGCCACAGGAGATCGCTGACAAAATTGGAAAGCCCTTCATGAACTGTTACCCTGGTGGTGGTGGTGGTGGTGGTGATGGTTTTATGCCAGGTGGCCGACCATTCGAGAGGAATCCATTTCAGGGAAATAATAATGACGGACCACCGATGATGAATATGGGCGGTGGCTCTGGTGGGCGCTACGGTAATAACAATATGAACAACGATAACAATAATGGTCGTGGTGGTATGGGAGGTAATAGTAATGGCGGTGGATCCATGATGAATCGCGGTGGTCGCGGTAACAACAGTGGCTATCGTAGTGATCATTCAAGTAGTGGAATGCGCAATCGTAGTGGTCGCAGTAACAACAGTGCTTCAAGTCACGACGGCCACAATTCAGACCAGGATGATGAAGTACAAGTAATTGATGACAGCAGCAACGATGTTGTTATTAGTGGCGATAGTGGACCTAACCGTGGTGATGGAGATAGCAGTGGCATACCGGAGAAATTCACACGACCCGGCTGTGTGATAGCCATGGAAAATGTGCCCTACAAGGCCGAACTTATAGACATATTGAAATTTTTCGCTGGTTATGACTTGACTCCAGATGATATTATAAGACGTTTCAATGATGACGGCACAGCGACGGGCGATGCACGTGTGGCGTTTGAAACGCCATCGATGGCACGTTCGGCATACAATTCACGTCGAAGAAAACAGATTTTCAATCGTACCATACGATTGTCATTGCTGTAGGAAATTGAGAACTGATTTCAAAAGGGTGGCTGTAAATATGGGGTAGATTATATTTAGGTTTGCACATATGCATACATACTTACGATATATACACTAAGTTATCATTCTAAGATTTTCTCTACACAATATTCAATATTTGTATTTTGTAAATACGAGACAATATAATATGAGAAGTGAAGTACCACAATTAGAACGGTGTTATGCTAATATTTTATACGCAAAGATACTTACTTATGTTATAATTTAATTTGTTTAACGTAAATAATATATGTACATATGTACCTAGTTATATACATATATATAGCTTATATAGCATATATATATAATAATTAAAATATTTTTAGCATATGCATAAATATACTATGGTTTTTTTAAAACAACATATGATGTTTTTAAATAATAAAATTATAAATAATAAATATGTTTATATAGCTAAAAACTAATTTGGGAACTACAAACATATAGCCTTGGTACTTTTGATTCATCGATGCTCCAACTTCTTTAACCCATTTGGCAAATACGTTTTCTGCAGTCCATCTTGACCCGTACGATAACCTGTCGATCAGCTAGCAGTTCGTGACCATTTCGGCCTTCACCTTTCCTACCTTCAAGTCAGAACGGGAAAATTTCACGGTTTCAAATCGATTCACAAAACTACGATAGAAAATATAATATCTCTTGCGATTGTAGAGCCATCGGATGATGAGGCTAAGTACTTGTCGAACTGCCCTATATTTATGTAATTTTAATATTTTTTTTTAAACCACTATATTGAGGTGAGGAGACAAAATTTTGGTTGATTTTTTGATATCTGCTATTATTTTGAGATTCCCTTTTCTTAATAGACTATGGACATGAATATTATTACTTTTTTTAAAAGGAGAGTGATAAATGCGTATAAGAATAGAATCAATGAATAGGTATAAATCCGCACATACATACAATATAGTGAATATTAGTACGGATATACATATGATATAGGTAAATCAAAATATGTCTATATGAGGTATGAATCAGAGTATACACCTGCGGCCACTCGGAACTTACCACTATACTTTCCAAAAGTTTTTGTTTTGATTTTTTTATTTTTTCGGGATGTTTTTAAGGTTTTTAGTAAGCACAAGTAAATTATATAATATTACCTAATTAATGAATTTAATGAATATAACACAAAACAGCTCTTTTCCTTGCGTTCAAATGCGTTCGATTTTATTGCCTTTAAATTAATAACGCGACTAAATTTAGTATTTCATTTTGAAAAAAATAAACGAAAATATTAATTTTATATATAGTATAAATTTAATGAAAATTAAAAAAAAAAAATTATCAATTTTTCATCGCGTGTCAATCTCTTTTATTTCGAGCTCATTTTATAAGTCTCACTAATTTTCAATAAGTGAGATATAAAGTGTTGCCAAACATGCGTAACACTTGAAATTTTTGAATGGTAATTTGTCCGTGGCTGCAGGTGTAAGTATTTGTTTATGGTAGTCTTGTCTAGTCTTGTGTGTAAGTATGAATATACATTACCTATACTTTAAAATATATACAGATATACGAGTATGTATGTACAGCTGTGTTCATGAAAATAGTAATACCGATGGGTTCTAAATAGAATACAAAACAATCAAGTTAAAAATACAAACTACAAAATCAACAACATTTAAAAGTAATGTTTAGTTATTTCTACGTACATATGTATGTACATACACAGTGCAATTGGTTTAAAAAGAAGGAAATTCCACTAAATTTGTGATATGAACATATATAAATAATTAAAATTTATGCACAAAAAATTTTGAATCGCGCTAAATGGAATAAATCGTGTAAAAAATTTAAAATTATTTTATTTTCAAACCGTGTAATAACAAAATTAGGTGTATATATATTTTTTACATTCTTAGGTTTATTTGTAAAAACTTAGGAATTAGGTCTGTTCACGAAAATAGACGTGCCTATTTTATTAAAGAAAAAACAGAAAAAACCAGTTAAATAAAATTTCAAACAGTAAATGTTTTCGATAGAGTAATATTTTGTTGTACAGCCTTTATTCACTAAAACTTCCTTACACCGAGGTGGTATAAAGTAACTTATATAAGATCCTCACAATGTTTCATAGGGATTTGAGCTTGATGAGCTTGGATTCGCTGTTTCTACATCTCGTTTAACATCTCCTCATACATTTTTTTTTGGTGAGGTATAGTGACTGCGCTGTCCAGGACAATACGTCAATTTTTTCTGGTAAACCACTGCTTATCCTGCTTGCTCGTATGTTTTCGGTCTTGGTTAAAATCTCTTTTATAGGTATTTTCCAGCTGGCACATGACAAAATAATATGATGATACCATCATCATATGATCAAATGTATAGGTCCGAAACCATGGTACGAAAAGCGTGCCCATACCATGTTGCTCAGATCATGTTTAACCGTTTTGGTAGTGTTCTTGGAATAATATTCTTTGTTTGGTCGTCCATTACCACATACTTTCTAGACCCTGTCCTTCCGATTTTTCCTGATCAAAAGTGGTACTTTACAGGGACTCCTTACCACCTTATGGTTTTAAAACAGTCTCCTACTATTTGTAAGAGTAATAATCGACAAACTTAAATCATTGTTTATAATATTTGATGATACTTACGGCTTGTTTTTAAAATATCGTATAATCTGTCTGTCCTCTAATATTGATTTGTTACATTCCCCCCCCACGTTTCTTCGTTTTATCATTGTTCTTTTATAGCATTACATATCATTGTTGACCTGCAGCCTACCATAGCATCAATTCCCTTTAGATTCTGTTATGTTTCCTTAGTTTAACTATCAATTCTCAATTTTCGGTAGAACAATGTCTTCTTCTACCCGCTAAAAAGGAAATAGCATTGGGATTTCAAAACATTTCATCAGAAAATTATAAGTTCCCTTAAATACACTTACTTATCGCAACTAACTAATTATTTTTCATTTATCGAGCCCTAACGGCAAGCACTAACCATTTAATGAATAGCTCAAAATTCAAATTATATCCCATAAATACTTACTACCAGATATTGAGGGATAAGCACCGTGTTCAATGTGTGCCAGCAATGTGAAAACATTATTTGAATAAACTTTTTTCATTTAGTATCGATAATGTGGAGAACATACCAATTCACATTATAACCATTTTAAGGATTCAGTTAAGTTGTGAAGTAAGAAATATGTATGTTGAATGCATTTTCAATTTCAGTAGTAGACAAATCTTATACCACTGAACATACCGCTAAGCAATTTTTGTCCTGCAATATTTCGATTAGCTGGCACAAGCTCTATGCATAAATGTATGTACATATATTTAAACTGATTGTAAACATTTGATTTGTAATACATACATACATACATATGTATGTACATAAAGAAATATAATTCTGTTAAAGATTGGCAAACTATTATTGACAGTTTGATTATTGACAGTTGTCAACTAAAATGTGATTTTTTAAAAGAGGATCGCTTTTTTAAGGAGGGAGTAGGGTTTTTAATTTTTTTTTTTTTGCTTAAATGAATGACAATGATTCGTACGACTATTGTGTCTATATTTCCAATTTCGAAGTTATGATTATTTTTATATCTGTCTTATAACCGTCGTTAATGGTGCCCCTCATAACTTCAAAACTACTGCACCGGCCGTTTTGAAATTTTGAACACTATTGCTATACATAACGCTGAAGTTTTTTTTCGAATTTATTCATGTTTTATATTTTATATTAAGAAAACTTTCAGGTTTTTTCTTCAAAGTGTTTCTAAAAAGTGAATAATAGAAAATTCGAAAAACCCCCAAGCGTTACGCGGGCAAACCGATTATTTAACGATATAATTTTTTGATTTCAGATAATCCAAGACTGAGTTATGATGAGCATCGCAACTCAATTTTTTTCCGAGACGCACCTGAATAGTTACTGCCATTACCGTATTTTTTAATATTTCTCTATGAAAATTTAATGATCGCAAATGTCATATATCAATAAATCATTGGTCTTTTCATAAAAAAATCATAAAAATTGGCCTTGTTTTATACCAATTAAGATCATGAAAATGAAATGTCTTCAAATCCAAATAGTAATCAAGATTTGGCGTACGAACCGTTAGCGTTAACTGTGCTAACAAATTAAACGTCTTTAAACAGTCTTTATTTTTTTAAATATTTACATATATAAGTAAACAGAGACCGTAATGATTATAAGTTTTATTTTAAAAATCACGTAATAATAATTATGCTTTGAGTTTTATTATTTTTTTCACCGATAATGATTAATTTTACTATAACTCATTAATACTTATTATTTTTGAGCAAAAAAATAAAAATTAAAAATAATATTCTGAGATAAAAAAAAAATTAAATAATTATTATTTTTGATTATAATTCAAATGGTTATTTTTGATTTTTATTTTTTATTTTTTGCTCAAAATAAAACTCAGTTTTGATAACAGATTTCTGATAAAGTGTTTTGCTGATTTTGTTGCATGCTCTTTTAGAACAAAAGTATATCTTCCTTTTCTCTTTTGTGAATAACGCAAAAATTTGTTAAGAAATTATTATTTCAATGAACTCGTTGCTGCTACAATCGCAATTGCCGACGAAAACTACTTTCTGAATAACTTTCATGTTTTGAATCCAATACCGATAAAATTTGCAGCGGTCATGCAGACCAGGAAATATATCCTGTGTGTGAAATTTCCCCTAGCTCAATAATTATGCTTAATATTCGATTTTTTCTCCTTTTGGGGGGGCGTGGCAATACCATAACACAAATTTCACAAATAATGATTATTTTTTATTTTTAATTTTTTGCTCAAAAAAATGATTGTTTTATTTTTATTTTTTGCTCAAAAATAATAATTTATGATTTATTTTAAAATTATTCAAAATTAATCATTATCTCGTTATGTTTTTTTGTATGTCGATTCTAGTACAATAAATTTGCAATTAGGGATATAATGAAAAATCACCATATTATAGGCCTGAGTAAATCCATTTTTATTCAATTTAAACTTGTTCAATTAGGTTGAGTTACAAAACGTTGTTGACCTAATTAGAGCGGCAGTCAAAGTACTATTGTATTTTCACAGCTAAGTGAAAATTAGAAGTAAAATTTTGACTGCTGCAGAACACTAATTTAAAGTAATTAGATCACCTATTGGCATAACATTACATATTTACATGTTGCTACGTAAAATGGTTTTAAGTTATACAACACTTAAAAATAAGAGTACAAACTAACCGAAATATATATGTATGCGCGTGGATGTGTATTTATGTACTGATTTTAAGTCAAAAGTATTTATGTGTATGTTTAGATATAGCTGCAATACATATGCTGATGCTGATTTTCTTACACCTTTCCATTATTTAAGTTTCTTCAGGCAAAAATCTAGTTATATGTATGTGGCGCAGACTGCTACCATGACTGCTCGGGCTAGAATTAAAACACACATATATGGTGAATTATTTTAGTTAAAATATTATATTTGAAATTGATGTTATTTACCTCATCTTCATCAGCCTCATCGTCTAAGTCACCGTTTTGATGCGCTATACGGAGCGAGCGTCTTAATGAGCCTTGATAGCCTGGACCAGAACTTGGTCGTTTCAATAAAGGATTATGTTTGAAGGTGTTTAGATTGACATGGGAATCCCACTAAATATATTCATTATCATAAAATACTGCTATTTACTTTTATAAAAGCATTTGCTCAACCTACCGATCCTGATACAATCTCTGATCGAACAGGATGCCATGACAAATCGCGCACAATGTCTTTATGGCCCTCAATAGCCTCTTTTATTTGCCCTGTCAACACATCGTAGACTAAAAATATAATAATAAATATATACGAATTATTATATGGGTTATCTTTCTTAAATAGATGAACATGAAAAGTGAAGATATTTGAAAAAGCATGCCTTTATTGTTAAGGCTATAAAAACTTACTGATAATTCTGCCTGTACCACAGCCAGTGTATATGTAGCGCTGCCCAGTTTGTAGAGCTGGGGAGAATTTGGCTCGTAATAAACTCTTGGTAACACGATGACCACGATAGGTCATCACGCTTACATCTCCCTCCAACGTTGCTTTTGGATTGTAATCTAAAAATACATTCACGCTTACAACCATATTCATTTAGCGAAATGTAGACAGCAAACTCACATTCACGTGGTACTGTATCCCATCGATAATCCCATGGAATAAGTGGCAGTATTACTTTATTTAATTTGTTATTGGGAGATGTCATTCTCATGTCCCATATTTTAATGCTTTGATCTTTGGAGTTAGTTAATAAATAATGCCCATCGTTGCGTGGGTCGATGTAAGTAATGCCATCCAAGTGACCTTTGAATACACCCACTGGCATATGCTTGACGCTGGTGAAGTTATTTCTATTATTGTTATAACTACTACCTGAACCGCTCCTCCCACGGACAGTGCTACCAGCACACCGTAAATCCCATAACTTCAACACGCCATCATTGCAGCCAGAAACGAATATATTTGAATCTTGATCGCTTATAAAACTAACAGCATTTATATCGTCTTTGTGAGTTCGTTGTGTATTTATCATTCGTACAGCATGTGTCTCACGATCGACCACATAAATTAATGAATTATTACTCCCGCCGATTATATGTTGTCCGCAAGGTGAAAATCGCAATGAGAATATACCGGCGCGTGATTCTTCGGCATGTAAATTGAAAGACTGCACATCTTTCCCGTCACTATTTACGGGTAAAACAAAAACTGATGGAAAGCCGTTTATTCAAAATTCAAAAAAAAGTCAAACAAATATATTTAGTTGAAACTCACAAGCATCCGACCATGTTGAATATGCTAAGTATTGCCCGCAGGGACTAAAGTCTACATCCAAGATACTCCAGTTACATATATCCGTTACGATACGGTTTATGCGGTGGTATGTTCCCTTTGAAGAATCAAAAACGCGAATCACTGAATCTACGATGCAAAAGAATGTAAAATTATTTGCGTAGTCATTGCATATACATGTATATATGTTTGTAAGTAAAAATACCTTGGCAAGCAGTAATCAATTTACTTCCATCTTTATTAAATTTGCAAATAAAAACCTTGGCTTCCAATGACATTAAACGCTGGTCCTTGTTATTAGGCACAAATAGATTTGCAATGCGACGTTGCTGATTTGGTGTAAATGATCCGGCTGGATGTGCAGCTATTCCATTCTCCCGTTTAAACAAACCCCGAGTCAACGACCAACGATCACTGGGACGATTGCTGTTTGCTGGTAAACCACACAACGCTTTTATTTCTTTGTACAACATGGTGTGCTGCAACATGGGTTCAAGCATTAAACCACTATACGACACTTATATAGTATTAACTTACGCGAAAGGTTCGCAAGTCTGGTTTCTTTCGTATCACAGGCATTCGCGCTGTTGGTCTCTCCAAGGGATTCAATCGTTCCAGACGCTCAAGTTGACTCATTACAGTACCAACGGCCAAACTCAATTGTTCACCAAGCATATCGTCCACATCCTCATCATCGAAGTCATCTTCGTCAATTTCATATACAATATTATTACCCATTCCTGAAACTAGCAACTTCCAAAGTTTTCTATGCTAATCTTAGCGACAAGACAAAACTATATATATAGATGTACTCAAATATATGCAGATAAACGTTTTAGTTTTTCGATAAAAAAAAACTCAATTTGTTGTTTAATTTCAGCTAACTTTATGATTCCGTCAAATGTTATAGAGGCGCTGCGCAAGTAATCCGTATGTTTCATCAGCGCCTATGCAATAGTATTACAGAAACAAATTAATAAATGATTTGTTTAATATTCAAAGACGAAATGTTTAATACAATTTCTTATCTAAATTATATTAATTACCTCACAACTAGTGAAAATATTCAGTTCAGCTGCAGCAGCGCAACTATTGCGATGTCTGGTGAAAACAAAGAAAACAAAATACTCAAACGTATGTTGCCACCTGATGTATAAATTTTTTCGTTTCCCGTATTAAGATCAAATTCTTTTCATGTTGCCATTACCCTTCATTCGTAAATAAACCTAATGGCGAATCGAGCACTATGCTTATCTTAAAAGAATTTTACGTTCTCTGATATAGCTTTGACTATTTTTTTGTAACAGCTTTATTTTATTGATATATCGCCAAAGACGCTAATTTAAAAATATCAGACAAAATTTAGCGCAGTATGTCTGGAACAAGTCAGGAAAAGGATTTTTTGAGAACAATGGAACCCTGGGAACACTGCATCCTGGTACAATTTTTATTGTAAAATCTTACAAGTATTATTTTATATTAATTCATGTGACAAAAAAACACCCTATACCAACTTCCAAACAATTAAGTTTTATAAATAGTTTTGTAACGGAATTACATTAGACTTCTTTAGCTTTTCTCTGCACAAAGGGCATTCATCACGTTCATCCAGCCAATCAAGGATACAATTCCAACAAAATAAATGTCCACACGGCGTCAAAGTCGTATTAGTACGTGAATCAAGGCAAAGGATGCACTGTGGCACCTCAGATTTTTCGAGATTTGCATTTTTCTCTGTGTTGATTATGCTTCTAGAAGAGCTTTTTATATTTGCTAACTTTTTTCTTTTATGTTCTTTCCAATATTCATATGCATTTATTATTAGTGACACAGTTACTTGTAGAAATGTTATAACTCCAAGTATTTTATAGCCATATAATGAAAATTCTGGTTGTAACCAGTGGCGTATTAAGACATAATTTAAGCCAGTAATACGTTTGGATATTTGGTATTTTCCGGAACGCAAATAAAATAATGATTTGTGTAAGGCTTTTATGTATTGTGGAGAGAAATGCAATATCCGCAGCACCCTTAGAAGTTTTTCCTTTGCATCCGGCACAATTTCCTCATTATCTTTGATGTATTTTTCAAGTTTTTCCAAAATTCGAGCAAATAAAGCGTCTCCACCAAATTCCAATATGATAGCAACTAGTTGTAACTGCAATTATTCATTATTAAAGAAAAATGCTCAAAAGGGGATATTGACAACATACCAAACGTGATGGAATGTGCATGTATGCACTATCAACTTGAATAATACCAGTGTATTCCTCACCAAGTGTTTGTAAATTATTAATTGACGCAAATCCATGATAAGTAATTTCGGCAAATAGCTTACACAATTGATTGTATTTTATCCAACTGCGAGAGCCTGTTAGACGCAGGAGATCCGAGAAATCTTCTGTCAGTTCCTCTGTGTATTTGGCATCTTTTTGAACAAATCGTACAATTTCTGGTTGACGTGCTCGAGCATTTCGAAAATCTAATGGATTATTTCCAATTAATTTACGACGTTGTATCATTCCTTTATTTTTCTAAAAAATATCGAAATACTAGTGGTAAATTGGCCAAAGTACGAAGTGATAACAAATGTCATGTTTTTTTTTATTATTTATTTTGGAGATAGTGTCATCATATGTTTTTGGAGAGTTGCTTATTTTAAGATTGTTCAGACGCTTCAATGTACATACATGTATGTAGTTTTTTTTTATATTTCAATTAATAGATCATCTCATAGCAATCAAGGATGTATAAGTTATTTTAAATGAATTTGTTTAATTGCTTTTTTTTAATACTTAAGCAAACACAAAAGTTTAATTGACAAGCACATGCCATTCAGTCAATGTCAAATTGTACTCGTTGCTTTGTACTCGTTAAGTAAAATTTTTTGGCCCGACCTCGTTCGTTGTTTTTACTTTTTGTTCCGAATAGCAAAAAGCTGAAGTTTTCAGAGTTTTTGGATATCTTCTGTTCACAATATTTACCAAAAAATTCTTACATATAAAATTAATAATTCAAAAGCTAATATATTAGTGCGATACAAGTAAAACTGTGCTAAAGTAAGCCGAAAAAGGTTTCTGAAGTCATAAAAAATTGACGACGTCATCCATTGATGTACTAGGTCTACTCGCCTACAAGTCTTCTCCTCGTTTTTTCAAAAACAAATATACTTCGTGCATTCAATTATATACGCGACAATTTTTTCGTGTATTTTGTTAGTTAAAATCATGGCTCAGTAAAAATGTCTCGCTTAAAAATTAATAAAGTGCATAAAACTCCATCTGGAGAAATTTTCATAAACTACAGTTCGCTGTCAAGGAATTCTTTTAATTTCAAGATTCCAAACCTTTGCCCAGCTACTAGCTGCGCTTCATCTAAAATATTTTTAAATAACAATGGAGAACAAAAAACCTCAAAACATTTTTGCACGCTCGAAGGCGTGTCAACCAATTGAGTCCTCACTCCGCAAATCGTCTTCAGGTAAAAATATATATATTTTTTTTACCTTGCCAAATTATTATATGATATTATTTATTTTTAGATTTACAAGTCAATAAGTGTTTACCTCGTAATTCCCGACGTCGAGAACAACCGTCAAACACTCGTAACGATTCGCAACGGAATTCGAAGCAGTACTCTTCAGTTAAAGCGCGACCAAATGTTGATAAACGACCACGCCAACGCGGCGGTGGTACCGGCAGTAATGTTAGCAACAGCAATGAAGCTTTCGTTAACGAAGACAATCTTACATGCGAGACTGAAGATGTTTCTGCTGCCAGCACCGGATTAGCCACGGTAGTTGAGCCGGTTGTGACCGGTGCATTGGCAAAAAAGAAGTCTCAGCAATATGCGGACTACGAATTGAACTCTGTGTACGCACCAGGGAGCAAAAAGCAGAATTTGAATCATCTGCTCAATTTTCATTACGCTCCGCGTGACGCTGACAACGCTTTTAGTTTTAATGTTTTTGGGCGGAATGGTGGTAGTGGCTCAACTGCGGCTACGAAGCGACATGGGGTCAGTAATGGCAGTAAACGTCATCGTTATAATAAAGAGCAATTCTTACAAGCTAAGTGAGTTATTTTTTAAAAACTTTAAATTGTCATACTCGTACAATGCAAACTTCTAATTCTAGTTTTCAATTTGTTGTGAAATCTGGTATTAATTTGAGTGTCTATTCATCGCCTGACAATTTAATCGATTGGAATCTTATTGAACAAATCAATATTCAAACTGAAGAAGAGCCGCAATGTCCCATTTGCTTATATCCACCTATCGCAGCGAAATTAACTCGTTGTGGTCACGCATATTGCTGGCCATGTATATTACATTATTTAGCGCTAAGCGATAAAACTTGGCGCAAATGTCCTATTTGCTATGAAGCAATTCATACAGCTGATTTGAAAAGTACTACAATTGAACAACAACGCCAGTTCAGTATTGGGGATGAAATTACATTTCAGTTGATGCGCCGCAAGAAAGGATGCATGATGATTGAGAAATTCGATCCTAATAGTCATCAAAATACTATGAATAGCTATCCATTGATTTCAGCCGACAATGATTCAAAAAGTTTTTCAAAAATCTTAATTGCCAATCGCAGTGACATTTTAAAGATAATTGATCGTGAGCAACGCGAACTGATTGCGGGGCAAGACCCAACAACTCCAGAATATATTTTCATACAGCAAGCTTTGGACTTGCAAAAGGAGCGACGAGAGAAAGTTGAAGAAATGAAAAAGGATAAAGAAGACGAACATTCAAATAAAGTTGCGAATAAGCTTTATGATGAAGAAAATGAAAATGATGACAATTTATTTACGGAAAATGCTGAAAGCCTATCATATGAGCGAGATGTTGATGTATCAGGATCTGAAAGCATCATTAGCAATGATGAAAATTCGCTAAATACTAGTAGCCTGGCGCTATCGTCCGTAGATAATGAAGAAGTTCATACAAAATATTATTATTTCTACCAATCTGTGGATGGGCAAAACATTTTTTTACATCCTTTAAATGTAAAAATGCTACAAGCCTGTTATGGTGCATTACAACACGCACCGTTGGTAATTAATGCACTCGTATTGCAAAAGGAGTACCACTCAATGGATGACGAACATCGCCGTAAATTTACTTGCCTAGGACATTTACCACTAACATGTCAGTTTGCTGTAATTGAGGTCGATATGCAACCACCAATTGTATCCAACGAGATATTACGTATATTCAAAGGTATGCCAAAATAGTCTCTTATTGAAACTAGAAGTTTATTAAATTTATATTACCAAATGCTTTTAGACGACATTTTTATGCGCAAGAAAGAACGCCAGCGTCGCGAACGCGAGGAACGTCGACGTGAAAAACACATAAATGAAATTAATGATCGTCAAATGGGAAAACTGATTGCTAGCACTGCAAATTTGAATTTATCATCCGCACAAGAGTTTCCAACAGTAAGAAATTTATTAACCTTATAGCATGATAAAAATATTAATTTTTTTATTATAACCGTTTTTCTTAGTGGGGTTTTGAAGAAGCACTTCCCGGTAGCAGCGCTACTACGGCGAACAACACCAGCAATCCAATTGCATTACCCAAGACAAAAACCCAAGCAACTTATTCAACAGTAGCTGTAGTCGGTGAATCGCCAAACGTAAAAGAATACTGGCCTACATTAGCATCGCCTGGCAATAGCAGCAATAACATGTATCATGAATTATCAACTTGGGGTAAAAATATACCCACTCCAAAGCCTGTTGTGGTCAACACAGCCGTTACCAATCGCACCATAAGTTCTGGTCGCTCAAGTGAATCCGAATCTCTTGATGGCTATTTAGCCGAAAACATTGGCTTCACAACACCATTGCGTACAGATTTAGGCGATGTTCTTGCCATGGCTATAACACAAAAGAAGCAAACCGTTGCCGCCACAGCAAGTGCCAGTGGTAAAAAGAATAAAAAGGCTAAAAAAATGACGCCACTCTTCTCCACAGGCATTAACTATGCTGGCAAATAAATGCACATGATCAGCAAATTATAGAATGAATCACCTATTTTTGCGTTAATATTGTTCAACCGTAATGTGCACCTATTTCAAAGTAATCTATGTAATTTCAACTATCAAAATTAAGTACTTTTTCGTTTTGCTTTCCTTAGTTTATATGTGTTTGGAGTGAATTATTAATTGAACAGACATGACATAATGCTAAAATTTTATTTTAAAAATTGTAAACGAACCACAACTTTAGACTATTGAATTCAAAATTCGCTGCTTATCGGAATACTATAATGCATAGAGCGTATATAATTGTGCAAATATTACTGGCAATAAGAATGTAATAAACTTAACTAATTGGCAGAAGTGTTACGTTATATTTGTTTAAACTACGAAAATGGTAAGTAAGTATTCGCATTTGTAAAAATTCGGACTTCACTGGACCGAGCAACCTTGTCTTCGTTGTCATGAGTAATATGTTCCTGCTATGGATCTTATTGATTAACACTCTAGCATGCTCCGATGAGGATGCAGCTATTAATAGCTAACAACAATTTTTGTCTAAATTATGAAAACGACAAATTTTCAGTAAGCAGCATTTCAGACATTTGTCAACACTTTTGTGTAAGACACTTGCATTTATTTACTAATCTCAGTTTGACATATTTTCATTATAAACATCACATCACATGCATTTATAATATTTCCTTTAGGGGTATTTTGGCGCCTAAACGCTCATATGCAATTAGTCATTTAACTATTGTTTTTGATTTCATTTTTATGTAAATTATAGTAAATTGTTTTTAAATTTAAGTCAGTGGGAAAATAATCATATTTATAAATGTATATTCATTTGTACATTTCACAACTCGAAAAATGACAAATGTTCAGGAGGAGCAAAAAACAGTTCCTGTAAAAATTATTAAAATTTTACAGTCAAATCGTCTTGCATAATGAAGAATATCTTCTTTAAAGAGATTCTTACTCAAATATGATTGATTTTCCAGTTCAACAACAACAATTAACGAAAGTGACACATTTCAAATAATACACATGATTAAACTCAGAATTTGAAAAATTTCGAGTTGTGACTGTTTTGTAGTTAAGTGTGCGCTATGCATGTTATAAAGTATATGTATGTACGTAGATATATTTCATTATAAATACATATATTCCAAAGTGTAATAAATCAGAATGTTGGAGACTTAAAATTAGTGAGATTACGCGGATATACCTTTTTCTCAATTAATTGGCTTCATCGCAATTATTTACGCAATATAAATGTACAATAGACATACATATGTAAATCGTCATGTCCTACAACCTCAACAAACTGCTGACTTATCTGCTCTCACACATTTGATTGTGCATTTAATTGCTTTTTTATATTTATATTTTTTTTGTAGTATGTATATGTACATACATATATATATACATATATATGCAAGAACAGTTGCGAAAATGAGGCGCTTACCTAATGAATGCATAATTTCTCAAAAATGTTGTGTCGAAATTCCAAGTCGATTGGAGCAAAATTTACGAAATTTCATCTTCTCTTATGAACGTTTCACAAGTTTTTTTTTCAAAACTTCAGCACCGATCGATTTAAACACTATTTCATAATTTACGAAGTAACGCTGGAGAGCTTCATTTGTCAATATTTTTCATTATCGCTTTATTTCCTGTGTACCCAAAAAGTGGATAATTTAAACTTCGAAAAACCCCCGCGTTGCCTAAAGATACTATTTTGATTTCAGATGATCCTGTACCAAAATATGAGAGGCACCGCAATTCAACTTTTTTCCGAGACGCTCCAGTGTAATTGCTGCATTTAACTTTCTCCATGAAAATTTAACAGAATATTCTTCAGATGTCATACTATAATGTACCATTGGTTTCTAAAAATAGATTTTAACTGTTTCATAAAAAGTAATTAAAGAAATTATAAAAATGGGCCATTGTTGACGGTTTATTAACCGATTTAAAGCAGGTTATAAAATAAGGTTGTTATAAAAAAGTAAAAATCTTTTGTTTTTATTTTATTTCAGTGGGTTTTGGCATAAGTCTTACTAATCGCCTTTTCATTTATTCATTCGAAACTATTCGATTATCACTTAAATTTTTCAGCTTTAAATATTCTTTAAACAATGTTTTGCCTTTAGTAGTGGGGGCCGGTATCCAGAACCGCCAGCGCATATATGTATATACTACTTAACATACAGTCATAAATAAGCACTTAGATTATTATTAAAGAATTTAATTCATCAAGATCGAGATTAACCTAATGGGTAGCCAATTGACTAAGCTACGTATATACAACTGTAGAATAAATAGCATCGTATTTTGTGGCATGTCCTGTTGATACTGTTACTCTTAATGACATGCTTTTGCAATTCATATCGTCAAACAGTTGTGCAGTGCAGTAAGAGTGTAGCAATTAAATTACTATTTGAAATAAATTTTTTAGTTTTTTTCTATTGAAGATATTTCGGAGGATATATTCATAAAGTGTAAATTCAAATAACTGTAAATACATTGCTGCTCTTCGGCTCGAAAACTCTAAAGTACATTTACTACTCGCGCTCAAACTCTGTTGCTCTCTCACTCTAACTAACTACTGCAGTTGCATCGTAAAAGCTGTCTGTGATCCTTTTTATTTATTAAACTTATGTAGATTCTTTAGTAACTTCGTTTGCACATAATAGGCTATATTTGGGTTCCAATTTCATTTTTCCACCTATGACTTATTTTATTTTTTTATTCCTTGACGAAATATTTCATTGTTTCCAAAGACATTTGCATGTATGCAAATAATTGTATTTGTTATTCTTTAATGTAATTCTTTTTTGCTTTTCATTTCGCATTTTTTGCATTACAATAATAATATTACCTACGAAATATTTGGATATCGTATTACTCTAATTACTTCTATGCTCATATTCGCCATCATCATCATCGTCGTCGTCGTCGTTCACTTGTGTTGTCATTTTGGTGGCCTTGGCAGAATCGGCTACACGATCGGTTTTACCACGTAATGTAGGACTATCTGTGACTCGACTCCGCGCAGCAGTGGCCGGCATGCGTACAGTTGCGAAGTCGGTATCATCATCATCATAATCAAAATCGTCTTCATCATCATCACCATTTATAGAACCACTTGGACTGCCGGGTGGACTGAGCGCTTGAATTAATTTGCCCTTAGATTCATTCCACAAATGATTAAGACGTTCGCGTCCGAAAAGTAAAAGGAATGCATCGATAAAGTCACGAGATGCCTCCTCCCATTTAGTGATGATATCATCCTTCACTTTGTTCAGTTCGCGTCGTCCGCGATTCTTTAACTCATCCATTTTATTTTGGAATCGAAACTTCTTCTCCGAAAGGAATGAGACATTTAAATCTTTAGCCGAGTAACCACGCGCCAAATTTCGGCGTACATATAAGTCATAGTCCTTGACAATACGTGCGACAATATCTGAAGTAGATACGCCTGAGCGGAAATATAAGAAAAAAGAGAATTATTAAAAAACAAAAAAAAATTGTATGCACAGTTGTTGGTATGCCGTAAAATTAATTAAGAAATAAACAAGTACTACTGTTTTTTTGAATTCATATCTGAGGCAAAAAGAAAAGTAATTTATAACTCAATAAACTATCTGATCAAATTTGACGCGGGCTGGTCCATTTAAACTGCGTTTGCAAACCGAATTGAATATAAAATTTCTTCCTAGATTTGTACAACCTTTTTAATGCTCATTTGAAGTTTGATTTCCATATGTCAATTAGTGTGTGTTTGGCAAGTTTGCGTTTAACTGAGGGTCACAAGCATTCAGTGAAAGAACTGAAGTCATCGAAAAACGACGCATCATTACTGTTGACGAAACATGAGTTTATGAATATGCTCCAAAAATGACCCGTAACCGAAAAAATCAATATTCTCTTGAAGGCACCTTCGGAAGTTTATAAAAACTGTATGGAAATTTTAATTAAGCGTTGCCTTGCTTGAATTGGCTCAGGCCGAGTCAAATTTGAATAGACGGAATATATCACTAGATTATACTATAACGTACAAAAGTTTAGACAAAAACAAAACAAAAAACTCGAAAACTTATCAGTTATCACAAAATACTACCATAAAGTTAGTATAACACACCATGGAATAGCTAAATTATTATTAAACAGCTGTTATCGGTAAATAAAGTACTCACCTTCTGTGCGTTCTGTGGCAACAAACATGCCTTTGGCCTTTAATGGCGCATATATATCTTCCACGCCTGCGCCAGTGTATGGAATGTCATCGTGTGCAACAAAATCAATTTTGTTTGACGCAATAAATTCTTCACATAGAGTCCAAGGGGCATCCGGAACAATCTAACGACATAAACATATTTATATAAGTTTATGTTAGAATTTTTGTTTAATTTCCCAAGAGGTGTATTTTGATAAACATGCTCACCTCATCGACATAGCGGCAGTGACGTAACGCTTCGTAACGCTCTTGATCATTCATAACAGTACGCCCCTTCATGCGGTGTGTAAGCTCATCATTGCACACACCCACAATTAAGTAAACATTTGGGAAAATGTTTTTCGCCTGCATTAGCTGTCTGGCATGACCTTGATGGAAAAGGTCATAAATGCCATCGGCGTAGACACGTACGCGTCGTTTCGTTTGACCAGACCGCGCCATTTGATAGGTGATTTTATAATTGTAGTCACATTTCTCACGCTCCACAACAGCCTCTTCGTCGGTGGACAATGGTGCTGGTTTACAAATTGTCTGCAATGAGAAAAAAGCAATAATTAATTTAATTCTTTGTATATTTATATTAATTGTTGACGAATTGTTTGTTTTTTTTTTAGCATATTTGTATGTGCATATATTACATAATCTTTGAAATCCATTTCCATTGGCAGCATTTTTAAGCCCTGTGGTTTGGCCGTCACCAAATTTGTTGTCATCTTTCACACGTTTTATAATTTTTGTGGCCTTTCGAAAAACGTTTCAAATTTTTTTTAATGAACTATATGCACGCAACTTTTGCTTTTTCTGGTGATTCTGATCGTTGATTTGTTTTGTTGAATTTTACGATGTAAATATGTAATTTTATTTTATTAACCAGCGATTATTTTTAAAGAAGCGATATCATGAAGTGACAGAAAATGCGTTGATATTACTTAAAATCCAAAACGAGTTCAAAAATAAAGTAGATCATAAAATTTATATGATTTTTCTGTCATGTCTATAAAAAGTAATAAGGCGTTTTTTTTTTTGTTTTTTTAATTGAAGAATACAGGGTGTTCAATATTTGGACCGGACACCAAAGATATTTTTGCCCAATATTGCTCCTTATTTCTGACGTGGGTAATTTTTATAGAGGAATTTGGAATAACGTTCTGTTGCTACGGAGCGTGCTTCCTCTTACGAAACAAATTTTCAATCCATAATGTCAAAAAACTGTTTTTTGTTTTTCTCATGAAATTTCTATTTACATTTTGATGATTTTGTGTGATTTACAATCTATTGAATACAGTTATCATAGGTAGGTCTGACGGTTTATAAATAGGAGAAAAAAAGAACGAACATATAATCATGGAATTGATGAAACGTTATTTTTAATTTTGAATATAACTTGGTTTTATCAGACAGCAGAAGTTTAAAATTTTGTACATCAATTTGGTTTTTTGAATATTTGTTTTGCATTTTAGGTGACGATATATATTGTAATTTGTATGTTTAACAATTTTGCACTTAGCAACCGTATTTACAAAAAATCCATTAATGTGCTAATTAAGTTCTTAAAATTTGGCGATAAAATAATGTCCTAAGGCGTGAAGTATTCAATTTATTTTGTTGGATTTTTTTTCAAAACCATTTTGCCATAAAAAAGTGTCCCATCAAGACACGTAAGTATTTACATATGACTTTCTAAATATTGATGTACTACTATGTATGCTTGTAGATATGTTTAAACGTACAATGCGTCAATTTGAAAGTGGCGTGATTTTAATTTCTATGTTGGTGATTTTTCACCTTGCATTGTATTCGTTTTTGATTTCTTGCAATCGCTCTTTCTTTGAGCGCATTTATACCACATAAAGAATAATCTTTTGCTCGTAAGAAAAATCAAATAAATAAATATGAATTATTTCGAAATTTGATCCTCTTTATAATATTCTTCATGACAATTATTTTACAATTTGGTCAGGTTTTGCCAGAATGATATGCGAAAAGAGCTGCTAACTCGTATGACGGTATAATAATTATATAAAAATAATTACTACAGTTACATGTTTTCCCAGAAATAGTGTAAGCGCGCCAAATTATTTTACATAATTATATTTATCGTGATAGACTAAGAATTTTGTTATTTTATGTAGCACTATTTACATTTAAATAATTATTATCGAAGGGGTGTCATGTAAAACTTGCAAAAGTGAAAAAATTCACTACAAATAAAACCATTAAATCAACCGTAGGGTATGTGTGTATTTTCCGCATTATTTATAATAAAAACGCTTTCATCACATGGGGGGGTAGTACAATACTTAAACTGCACATTCAAGTCCACATTGAGAGCACACAAACAAATTATTATTACTCAAGCAATCAATTTAAGACCGACCAGCGCGGATTGTTTGACTTCGTCAATTTCGTTTAATTAAGCCCGGAACGCGCAACTGTCTGAATTGGACTTGTGGCAAAAATAGTATTTTCTCGTCTCTTTGGAATATACACCTCACTGCATCCACATTGCGATCTGATCCTCGAATGACTACTTGTCGCAACCGAAGACTTGGTTTTATACAATTTTAAACAACATTTATACATATATGCCCATCTATTTTAAACAGTGTCATACTGCCTTTCAAGCCGACCTAGTATGCTAATTTCCTATATCAATTTTATCAATTGGGCTTTGCTCACTCGAAGTGTGTAACTACAATGATGACTGCTATGGTGATATTGGTGGTTAGGGAACCAGTCGCTGTCGTTATAAATACATCACTGATTTGTTGAAGATTAATCTATTTTTAAATAATAATATAGCGATCTAAATAGATTTACATATGTATTTTAGGGAACATGTGGAGTAAAATGTTTATTGGCAATGTGTTGGTAAAATATGGTTGGTTTAATTGAACAAAAATAAACAATGATTTTTTACTTTGTTTACTCCAACAGAATAAAATACATATCGTATTCAATTAAGGTTTTATTGATAAATGATCCAGAATTAATATAAAATTTTAATTGAAGTCATACATCTCAAATGCTTCGAGCGCATACGTCTAACTATGGAGCAAAGCCAGAAAGGAGGCAATTGAACTCAGTTAAATTTATTTATAAGTACAGAAAATTGCATAAGATGCGGATCGGACTTGCAAAATATTTATTTATATAGATGCATATGTACATACAGAATATAAATTGACGTATAGCCCAAATCTGAAAAAAGAGAAGTTAAGTTCTCTTCATACTTTACGGGGTACCGATTAGATCTAAAACCACAGCAGCAATGATCTATTACTTTAAACAATCTAGAGATTATTTTTAAACAATCTAGAGATAGTTTAGGCAATCATAGCATTGATGTTGCATCAGCATAAATCATTCACCAAACACATTTTAATCGGATTGACTTACGTAGACACGGTTTATTTGTGTAGGCGGTCGTTCTAAACATTATAATGATCCAAAAGGTTTTAATCTACAACCCACCAACCTTGTATTTCTTATCTCTTTATTATTTGCTTTGAATTTCTTTGTTGTGTTTTATATAACTTTGAAAATTGCTGGATGTGTTTTCCAAAATATTTTTAAAAGCGCATTTAGTGAATTCAGTTGAAATTGCATTTCATTTTACTACGCTTAGTTTTTCCTAATAAAAAATATATCAGCAGATTTCCATGCGCAATGTTAATCTCTGATTTTATCGAATTTTTTATGAGCATAACCCCACTTGTTCATGCAATGAAATAAAACAACAATCATTCGTTCTTGTCTGAATTAATTAGCTAATCAATTTTAGTTGTATAGTTATAGAAAAAACATAAAATCTATATTGTTTTCTTTTTATTTTTTACGCCTCAGAAGGTCGAATGATTATAACCATAGGATAAAATTATTGCTTATTCGAAATTTATTTCTATTTTCATTTCTTATATTTGGATTTTCTACATTTTATTCCACAATGTCAGCACTTCTCGTATACATAAACTAATATATATATATATGGTATAAAGTGATTACTCGTTGGACATCAATTATTTAATGAGTCAAACAATTTAATAATTATATTAAGTAGCAATTACATATACCATATAAATTGTAGTAATTGCATAAGTAATTATAGCTTCTTGACGAATCACTAAATAAAATCGAACATTTGAACCTTTTACCCCATATGTGATATTATTGTATATTTCTTCATAAAATAAATATCTAAGAAATACATATGGTATATTAGCCCTTTAGATAAACAATGTGGTTATCTGGTTCTACCAAACTAGAAATGCTTAATTTATTCTTTGAAAAAAAATAATAATATCGTCAGTTTCGCTTTTTAAATTTTGTTCTCAGAACGTCCTTAAAGTGTGTTAGTTGCTTTTACTAACCGATCTAAAATGGGAATTTGTGCCACAAGAAGTTAAAACAAATACACATACACATATATACAAAAAGAGGAGATGCACTCACCGCAAAATCTGATGAGCCACTACTGATCGTAAGCAACGGCTGTGGCACCGGTACGTACTCCTTCTTAACAGGACTATCATAGTATGCAGAGGATGAGCCGGACGCTTCCTCATCCGGTTCACATTGTGAAACTGTGCGTGTATAATCTTTGTTTGCTGTTGCAGCAGTTGCTGTACTGACACCATCCACATGTATATCATTGAGTGCAACATCATTACCATTCGCATTCATTTTGTTGGCAAGTGATGCTTTAGCTACAGCAGCAGTTGCTCCTCGAGATTTTGTTGCGACAGCGGGCATTGAGATAGCAGTCTCGTAGGTGCGTTTACGTGTTGAAATTAAAGTAGGTGAGGTAGTAGTCGTAGACGATGATGAGGAATTCACAGCGACCGCTGATGCTAGTGTCGAAATTGGATTGTTAGCGAGCACTGATGTAGTGGCCATAGCAGCAAAACGTTCAAAATAAAATTGTTTAAAGGAACAACAACAATATAGCAGCTATGATGAATAGTACGTGTGAAGATAGAAAGGATGATAATGATACGACGTACGAAATTGGCGAACCGACTGGCGTCTTCAGTTTTGAATTTTGTGCAGCACTCTCTCTCCTCTCACATGTATGTATGTAGTTGCTGTGGTAGTGGTGAGGCAACTAATTGAACAGCATGTGCGCCAAGCAATTGGTTATATATTAAAGCGACAATTGTTGTCTTTATTCAGTTTCGACTGTACAGATTCAATCATAAAAACAAACTATTGTGGCCCCTGTAATTTCTCAATGCTCATGCGATAATTAAACAGTAGTTGTGCTTATGTCGCAATATTATTTTTTATTTGCGCGTTTAAATTAAAATGACCTGCAATTAAAAAGTAAAAACAATTACTTAATGCGTTTGTTTGTAGAAACATTTACATATGCACACAAATATAATATAATATACATACATACAAATGTGCTTCATGTTAAAAACAGACTCAGTTTTCTATAAAAATTACTTAATACTTTTAAAAATATAATTGCAGCATGTTATCATATAAGAGCTATTAAAAGTTATATTTTTTGGAATAACATATATTTTGTTTATTATATTTACATATTAATATTATATTAAAAGAAAATGGGTAAAATAATGATAAGTAACTAACTATTAAGTAGAAATTATGTTAGGTAGGTGATATCTTCACTATTTATGGTTATATGTATTAAAAATATAAGCGAAGCTTAATACTTTGAGAGAGATTAGTTTGGTGTAATCTAAGTTCAAGACAAAAAGGAATAGATTAATTTCATATTTCAAAACCCAGCCGAAGTTTTGTATATTATATACCCAACACTATTCGGTGCAAATATTACGTTATATCTTATTTAAAAGAGTAAGCTTTCATCGCCTTTTCTATTATATACTAGGGCGGAGCGAAAAAAAAAATTTTTTTGCTTAGGATGAGGGTCAAGTTTGTAGATTATAAAAAAAGGAAATTTTTGGAAAAAAAAAATTTTTTTTTAACATCTAGAGGCAGCCCGACCCACTCACTTTTAAAGCAAATTTCGAGTTAAAAATCTTTTTTGGACAAAAAAATTTTTTTTGGTTTAAACTAATCACATTTTTATAAAAACTATCGAATTTGACGGGTTTTGACTCAAAATTAATTTTAACGCTTAAGGAAAGCATGTTGTCGTTTAAGAAATTTTTTTAAAACTCCAATAATGACCACAAAAATCTTTTTAAAGTTGATAACTTTTAATTGTCCAGAAAGAGGAGCACAGCTTCTAGAGCACTTATCAAAAAAATTTTACGATTACGATTTGTTCAACATTTCCCCACTCAATTTTTTACATTTACTTTACAGTTTTTATTGCAACGAAAATAGTTCAATACAAAAATATTCTAAACCGAATTAGTAATTTCGGTGACAGTTATTTTTAATTTCGTTCACGTGGGTGTAGTTTTAAAGTTGCTTAAATTGAAATCTGGCTTCATACATTTTTTGGTATAATATCAAAACACAATGTAAGGAAAAAGATCTACTATTTTTTTTTACTTTTACACTTGGCTATACATATGATTTTCTGATTACATACCGACTGAATTTTGTTAAATTTCTTTTGGGTACCCTATTTTTTCAAAATCAAAGTACAAAAAGTATATAAATGTAAGCATTGAAATACATGTTTATCGCAATTTCATGGTCCTTTTTTTCATATGCACATGTGTTGGGTACGCTGGGTGCGGTATGTTAGTATATATGGTAGTTCTATATAAGAGTGTTTAATATGGAGATTCGTCAGACGAGCTCATTAAAAATTACTTAAAAGCAGCTTGACAACGCGTAATTCAGTTGAAAGTCAGTTGCATATTTATCATTATAATATATGTATATTATTAAGAGGAAATTGAAGTTTTTAGGATTTTGCAATTGAATAACATTTATATCGATTTTTTATATTTACAAAAATTTGTAATTAAATACGTGAAATTGTTGTTATTTTTGTCAATCCGAGTCAAATTTGGTAGGATGGTATGTAGCTCATTTAGCAGTATGTCGAGATATATGTATATGTATATGTATGTAAGTAAGAGACATTTGACTTATAAATCGTTTTTTATGTTATAAACCTGCCTTATGATAAAATAGTAGTTCTGCTGGATAAATTTGACTAATTGAAGAAAAATTAAAATCTCTTTTTTGTTATATTGAACATTTTCTTTAGATTTTCTTTCATTTACTGAATTTTACATTTGCGTTATTGGCACAAACAAATCAATATGCCAGAACAAGTTTCAATTAAATGAAATCCTTAATATCTAAATGATTTTAATTCATGCAACAAATAAAGTGTAACATCAAATTGTGTTATTTTTATTTCGAAAATAGAATTAAATAGGAAAAAATTTAGAAAACCGCACTTAGATGCTCTCTGAATAAATATCACACTTTCAAACATAATTTCTATTAACGTGTCTTATTTTGAGATATATTAAAACTTTATCTCTCTGAAACTGTCAAACAATTTTAGTTTCTTTCTTAAGTCTTTTGTTTTATGCTAATTTATCAAAGAGTTAACTTAAATAAAATGAAATCAAACTGTAATATTTGCAATGGTATCTTGCAATTATTAAGTAGCCATGTTATCAAACACAATTCACATCTCTCTCAGAATTTAGCTGGTAAATAGTATGGATTTTATTTTATCTTGATTAACAAACTTTTGCAAATAAAAAACATTTATTTGCCTCCCTGTACCTTTTTTACTTTCCGGAAGTACTGTGATGTACATAAATATGTACGTATTAACTGCTTGAACGTCACAATTGTTACTATAAATAGTCTGGTCACTCACTTTGAAGAAAACGTTTCCACAGTTATATTATTATTGCTGTATTTCTTTATTATTAGTTTGATTTATTTATATTGTTGCATAAAACACGTGAAATACTTTCGTACGATTATTATTTTATTGGTTGTGTAAAATCTTCTAAATTTATAATACTGCGTAGAAGAAAGAGTACAATCCAAAACTTAACTAAATTGAATTGCTTTCACAATAGTGGGCAATAATTCTTTCAAATAGCTTGTTTGTGTATGTTTTTATTTTTTTTAGATAGACACGTAGTAGAGTAGGTAAAATGTACGACTGCTAAAGCTCAAGTCAGAGGTGGGCAAAACGAACAGCACAACGCGAGTGAACATTAGCAACAGTGAAACAGCACTGACGGCGCTTTCTGATGAATTAGTGAATTGGACGATGCAAAGGCGGCGATTGCATATAGAAGCGAACCTACATAAATATATTATATATACATGTTTGTCTGTATTTACAAAAAAAGGTTGTGACATCTATGTGAATACGTGGTGTGTTTATATGTATTGTACATATGTGGGTAACAAGTATAAAGATAAAATTTCCTCTCAATTCTATTTAATAAATGTAAGCATGTGCGTATACAGATTGGTTGAAAAGTTGGTTGGTCTCACCAAGAAATAGCACCACTACCTCCATTTTCTCAACTTGGTGTATAAAGAGTCCTCACGTTCAAAACGCACCGTTGAAGTTAGGGCTGGTGAATTTAAACGTGGTCTTACTAGGCTTGAAGGCGATCCACGCGAAGGATGACCAAAAACCGCAACCACTGGACAAAAACTGGATCGAAAACAAATTTCTCAGCATAATTTGGAGCGTTTTAGGCTGAATAAAACCGATTTCTTGCGTCGTTTTATAACTATGGATGAGACTTGGATCTACCACCATGATCCTAAATTGAAACAAGAACGTTTAGGGTAGACTGAAGCTGGCTGTTCAGTTCCAAAGCAGGCGAAGTCACACATCACATCAGCAAAGAAGGTTATGGCATCAGTTTTTTGGGATGCAAATAGAATTTTGTTGATTGATGGATGAAAATGTTCGTAAGAAAAGACCCGGTTTGCAGTACAAAAAAATAATTTTTCATCAAGACAATGCAACTGCTCACAAGTGTTTTAACAATGACAAAATTCAACGAATTAAAGTACGAATTGCTTGAGCATCCACCGTATTCACCAGATTTGGCTCCCAGCGATTACTACCTCTTCCGAAACCTGAAACAATTTCTTCGTGGAATGCGTTTTTCGTCGAATGAAGCTATTACAGCCGTAGACGGGTATTTTGAAGAGCTTCCGGAAAGTCATTATAGGGATGACATAAACTTAAATATATTTCCTACCAACAACAGAATTTTTTTCATTTCGAGCGCAGAAACTTTTCAACCAACCTGTATATTGGCTTACTTATTCATTACAAATTTATTTACAACAATGAGTAAAAAGAGAGCCACAATATTGGTCTTGGTAATGATCGTGAATACGACGATCAGCCAGTTGACAAGCGAAACAACAGTAAAATAGTCAGCGCGTCGTCGAACGTGTTGGCGAATAATTAGAAATTGCTAACCAAGTCATAATGAACCGGCAAAAATCCATGCGCAAACAGCAATCACTATCTTTTAACGATCGTGGCGTGATCAGGAATGCTTGTTCCGTTTCAAGCTTATCATTTTTGTTTTGGGCGAAAAAAAATACAGTAAAATTATAGCAAAAATATGCAAATAAAAAAAACCAAATATATTATCTCATTTGACTCATTCAATTTAAATTTGTGTGCCATACATTTACGCCACGTGTGTATATTGTTGTTTGCTCATAACAAAATTTTATTGTGTTTTTAGCATTTTCTATGCATTAATAAACATACATACATAACCATACATACATATGTATGTATTATTTATTTTTTTTTCTTCTTTAATTGTGCCAACATACACGTCATAATATGTTAATACATACGTACGAACATTAATTTGTATTTGGTTATTCATATATGTATTAATGTGTATAGATATTGTTGTTTTCAGTGCGTATACGTAACATACTTATATATTAACCCTTTGAGTGTCGGAGGCCGATATATCGGCTCTTGTTGCACTGGCGAGAAGTACCAAAGCGGATATATCGGCCAGCGCCTTGTAGCGCTTTACTATTTGCTTTATTATATTGCAGGAGAACTCTATCGCAAAATAAATACAAATGCGTTATAAATGATATAATTTAATCACAAGATAATTAAAAAAATATTTTTTGTTTGAACTCTTTGTTGACGACGTTTTTCCTATCGCTCGCTTGGAAGTACCGAAATCTAACATAAATACCGTACCTTTAAGTGGTGTTTTGTTTTTTTATGTAATATTTATCTTGTTACAAAATATATATTGGAAATACAAAGTATATACAATTATGATGAAAATATGACTGTTTGTATGTGCAAATACGTTTTCTACAAGAGATCTCAAATTCATTTCATTTACAAACGTTTATACCTTTGTTTTTTCTATAATATTTAAATGACTCCGAAAAACTAGTATCATTGTTTAGTTCTGTATTTCATCCACAATACGCAGCTTTTTGAATGATGTAAATATTAATTCTCGTTTGGTTTTTACAAGCAGTTTTCCGAACCCTTGTAAAACTGTGAAACTGTGGCCCGGCACTAAAAGGGTTAAACAAGTGAGTTTGCCAAAAAATCATAAGTGTATCATATGGTATGCATTAGCATCATGCGATATTGGGGTATTTTTGTTTATCTGCTACATATTTTCATGTACTTATTTACAATGATATAAAAGCCAAAGGATGTGTAGTTGAAAAATTCATTAAAAAACCTTGTTAATGGGGAGACCAAAAATTAGATTTTTAGCAATGTTCTTTATTAAAATATGCCATGTCATTTTATGTTATTTCGAAGTTTTTATTAAGTATTATAAGTTTGCCAAGTATATGCTTTCTTAACGATCAAAAATTATTTTCTATTGAGTTTAAATTGATGTGATATATGTATATGTAAAATATGGCATGACAGAATTCGAAAATAAAAATGTTAACATTTTCGTAGAGTTGTTCATTTTCAAACCAAACAAAAAGGAATATAACAAAATATTTAAACGGCAACGATAAACTTTTGGGTGGTGCATGTAGAAAGATCATCAAAAAAATTATCGAAAATATTCTTGAAGCACCAATTACACATATTAATAGACAAGACAGTCAAAAGAAGCACGCATTGAATACATGCCACATTTCAGACCACTAAAGAATACATATGTTGCCGTTGGCCAACGCAAGTTAAAATTCTAAATTTGTAGATACAACGGAAAATTCGCTGACGTTGTTGTTGTTGCTGACGTCATATTCTTTGGCAGGATTGTTTAGCGAAATATTTGTTTTATTGTCAAAAGACAAAGCACACTGCGGTCTGTAAACAATTCATAGGTTATGCTGTGATTTTTCAAAAGTGCAGAACTGGCCCAAACAAATTGTCGTCTGGAAGGCAGGCCTGACTATTCTTATATCGCTATCAATTGTGGAAATATGAGTTGAAGCAACATATGGTTGTAAGGTAAGGTAAGTCTGCTTCCGTTATACGTTTTCATTTTGATAAGCGGCTTAAAAATGTAAACAAACCTAATTATTATAAATGTATATAACTTGGTACGTCGGAATAAATTACGTAATATATATCAGCAAATAAAATGGGGTATTTAGTAAAATGTATTCAATTAGCAATAACATTAAATGTGTGTGTATTTTAAAATTTGAATTTTATTTACCACAAAGCTTTCATTCAACAAATAATTAAAAATTAATATATATTTGGAAAGTACCCTATATGTATTTAAAGTAGTTTTTTCGCTTTAAAAATGTCATCTAATTTGCGCTCTAACTCTGTGTTTGTACCACGCATATTATCCACCACTTTCTTAGCCCAAACATAGTATTGTTCTTGACGCTCAGGCGTCCAACCGATTGGCGCTTTCCTGCCTAAATCTCGCAGATTGTCCAACTTATCCGCCAATTTCACTAATTTGGCATTCTTACTTGAGCTTGACGCATGTTCGATTTGCAAACGCTTGCGTTCTTGTTTCTCCAATGTTTTATCGTCGGTGACCTCACGTACAATTTCACAAATTTCCTCGCCAAAATGTTGCTCGATTTCCTCAAATGTGGCATCGGTATCCTCGACAGTGTCATGCAAAAGAGCAGCAATGAGTACATTTTCATCGGAGATACCACCTTCCACAGCGAGAATTGTTGCCACATTTATGGGATGATTAATATAGGGTGTCTCATTATCTTTGCGCCGTTGCGTACGATGCTTGCTGGCAGCAAACTGCAGTCCCTGCATTAATTTCACTGTAGGATGTAACGCTTCCATGTTAAGGACAATCACAGTCGGCCTAGAGGGAGTGCAATCAATACTTCAGCCAAAACAAGGTAGTATGAATATAATAATTAAAGGAGGCGTAATTAAACAATTTGAAAATAGCAAATTATTCTATCTGCAAACAGAGACCTTGCACGGGCCAAGTCTCTGGTATGCTTAAACGGTGACAAAGTTGATCATAAAATTATACTTCTACATACATACATATGTATGTATCTATGATATGTATCTATTAAAGGTGTATGTGCACATAACACACATGCGAGTATTAATTTCAATGTCAAATAACCACTAAACTTTAAACATTTGTAACGTTGAAATTTGAAAATCTTATCACTGGGTTGATAAGGTGAAAAATCCCCAGTTCGTTACGTAGACCAGCTATTTTTTCCATTTCCAAAAAATAATAATTAAAACAGCACTGACCAAACACAGCGGGCGAGCGAAAATCGCGATAAGCTACGAAGTGAAAACAGTCACGCCACGTAGCCGGCGTAATTTACGAATTTAGACGATGAACTACGAAAAAAAAATAACTTACAAATTTTGAATAAACACAATTTACTCATGATTCACTCTAAAATAAAACCATGCAAATTGATTTGATTCAAACAAAGTAAATGGGTTTATTTTAATATTAGTAACCCAGTAAACACGAGTTTGTAGCGTTTTCTGAGACAAAAATATTAACTCTGAAGTAAATTTACCTACAAACTTGTTTAGGAATAGTATATCCATTTATTGATACCTTATTCACAACACTTCATTAATAAGCAAATTTAAGTAATATGCACACGCGCTACTTTTTGTAGATTTGACGAATAATTAATGCACTCTACCTAGTTAGATAGTCATACATACATATGTACATTCCCGATTAATGAGTATACTTCCATATCTTACTAATTTAGATAAATATTATTGTTGGTAACATGCCTATAGATATATGAAAAAAAAATCTTAAAAATACATAAAACAGGAATAACATCCAAGAAGGTTTAGGAAATGTTGCTATCGAATTTTATAAATTCCACTTGAATAATTAAATAAAATATAGATGCAATAAAACATAGATATGCATACATACGACTCATTTTACCATATATATTACTTATACTTTTTTTGGTAGTTCTTTTATTTAATCATTGCATATGGTGTCTCATGCACGTTTGTACTGATTTTAATTTTTTAATTGTTTAATGCACGTGCTTGCATACAATTAGCAACGGAAAACATACGAGTATGTACAGTATGACTTATATTGATCTTTTAATTATTATGTTGCAAATTACAATAGTTCTCAGTGATAGTAGATAACCAGCAATTTGGTACGTTTGACTCAACTGATGGTACATTTAACAAGAAAAAAACATTAACTCCGGTTGCCCGATTTAAGTCATGTAAGTCTTACGAGACTACACTTTTGGGGCATATTGGAAATTACCATATACAAGTATTTCAAGCATATGAATTTAATTTATGGTTAATTTGAAATCAATTTATATTTTTTAGTAATAATTTTAAATGTAAATGTTTTGATTTCTGTTTTAATCAGAGACCGTAAATAATGATTATTGTAGCGATTTTTAATTGAAAAAATCAAATACGTAGAATCGACATAGAAAAAACTTCAGAAGAACCTGTGATCAAAAGTGACTTTTACATTGGGCAAAAAAAAATAAAAATAAACAAGTAAGGAAGGGCTAAGTTCGGATGTAACCGAACATTTTATACTCTCGCAAAGTCAAATGGTATTCTCGTTTGAGATTTCTTTGTGGATTGACTGATATTTTCGGTAGAAGGTCAACTATAGGCAATGGGGTCCACATATTTAGTACTTAGGGGTTTGAACAGTTTTGGTACGATTTAGACAATTTTTGGCCGCAAGGTGGCATACTTTAATTGCATTATTCACGCAAAGTTTTACGCCGATATAATCATTGTTGCTTAATTTGCATAGTGGAAAGTGAAAGAATCAAGTGGTATTTAAAATGGTGTCATATGGAAAATAGGCGTGGTTGTAATCCGATTTCGCCCATTTTTGCACTATGACATAGAAACATGAAAATAACGTTACGCACCGAATTTGGTTGAAATTGGTTAAGCAGATCTCAAGATATGGGTTTTCACCTAAAAGTGGGCTGTGCCACGCCCACTGTCTAATTTTGAACGCGGTTCCTATAAAGTCATCTTATACCATCTCAGAGATAAAATATAATGTCTCTGGCGTGTTTAGTGCTTGATTTATCGCGCTTTTAGTAGTTTTTAACAGTACCGTTATATGGGGAGTGGGCGGAGTTGCCACCCGATTTCAACTATTTTCACACCGTCAATAGAAATGCTAAAAACATTTGCTTCTAGTGAATTTTGTTATTATAGCATTAGCGGTTTAGGAGATATGCACATTAAACCTATTAGAGGCGGGACCACGCCCACTTTTTAAAAAAAGTTTTAACTGCAGATGCATCTCCCTAATGTGATCCTGTGTACCAAATAACAGTCTTGTATCTTATTGCGGAGCTTAGTTATGGCAAGTTATTTGTTTTTGATTAATGGCGTTTTGTGGGCGTGGCAGTGGTCCGATTACGCCCATCTGCAATACCAACCGTCTCACGGTACCAAGAAACATGTCTACCAAGTTTCATAAAGATATCTCAATTTTTACTCAAGTTAGAGGACGGACGGACGGACGGACGGACAGACAGTCACCCGGATTTCAACTCGTCTCTTCATCCTGATCATTTATATATACATAACCCTATATCTAACTCGATTAGTTTTAGGTGATACAAACAACCGTTAGGTGAACAAAACTATTATACTCTGTAGCAACAGGTTGCGAGAGTATAAAAATAATCATTAAATAATGATTTATTGTAAAATTAAAATTAATCATACTCGGTGAAGAAAATAAACTGAATACATAATCATTATTAAGTGGCTTTTTGAATAAAACTTATAATCATTACGGTCTCAGGTTTTAATTAATTTGTTGTCCAAAATCAAAGTTCAATGCTAATTCTCAATATAAAATCGCAAATGTAATTCCACATCCACATAGTATTGTGTATAAATTAACCTTTGTTAAATTGGCGACCTGATAAGCGCTACAACTTTTTTGACATACACTATCAGTAGATTTGAGCCGTCCGTTCCCACGACAGTCGGGTCTACGTAACCGGAACGGACCCGGATTTATTCCGGCTAAGGACTGTAAACTCGGCAAAATTCTGCCGCTACAACAACAACAACATTTGAGCCGTCGATTCAATCTCAGATTTTAATAGTGTATTATAGAGTATAGCAATGTATGGACATATGTGCACACGTACAAACATGTAGGTAGAATTGATTTGTTTTGTAGATTAATTGACATACTTAATCTTTGTTTGATTTGATTTGCTGCACGAAGATTTTTTCTGGCAAGTGTTTATTAGTATGCATCTATGTATTGGCAAATTGTGGGAACATCTTTATCCATAGTTATGCAATCAATACTATAAATGAACCGAAATATATATAACTAGAATGAAACCGATCAATTTTAAAGGCTTCTGAGACAGAATGAAATGTCTTCGTGGCATTTTCAGATAATCAAGTAAAAACTTTCCGCTCCAACAGCATATGCCGAATGCACACAAAAAAACTGTCTACGTTGTTACAATCACTTTTTCAGCCTCCCTACCCTGAGAATATATTGCTTTTGTAAAAAAAAAACACAAAAGCAAATAAAATATTTGCAATTTCTTGTCTTTTATTAGTAAAAGATTTGTGTTCTTACCTTCGGTAGATGTAAATAAACGCTTTTATCCTTTTTATATTATTTGTGTTTAGGGTAATTGAATTGCGTTCTTAATTTGGGTCTTTATTGTTGATATTCTTTTTAAACGCAGAGAAATTTTATTACAGACGTGGAAAATCGATTTGGGTAAATTTACACATAATTCGCGCTGAACTTTGTCGATGATTTCACTTTGTGCTTTCGAAAAATGCAATCAAATATAAAACTTTTTAAAACTAAAAAGAAAACATTCTTCAACTGATTTTATAACGATAATATTTCAATTAATTTTTATTAGCAGTGAATTTATTTCGCGTCTGAACTAAAACTAAATATACGAATAACAATTTCCCCTCTTGCACTTTGAATAGAAAAAAGTTCGAAGTACCAGTGTTGCATTTCGAATGAAATGACACAGTGTTATTAATTTCGTAAGTTCGAAAAGGCGGAGAGTCTTCTCATATTACGGTAGTATTTTTCAGCTAAGCTCCTTGTCGAGTTTTTTTTTTAATTATACCCTGAACAGGGTGTATTAAGTTTGTCACGAAGTTTGTAACACACAGATCTCCGATGTTAATCCTATAAAATATATATGTATATGATTTGCATGACCTGAAATTTTGCCCATCCCTTTGGCCCAAGAAGCTGCTCATTTGCTGGAACCACTAATGTCGGACAAATTTAGCATATAGCTGCCACACAACGATCGGTATCCAATGCTTGTATGGACAACTTTTTTATATTTAAAGGATTTTATAGCTGCGGTTTAACCGAAGTTAACGCTTATCTTGTTTTTTATAAAATTTTTACAAAAATTAAAAATCGATGTGAATGAATGTGGCTATGTCAATTTCTGATGTGCTTTTAGATTATAAGTAAGTAAATACAATTGTGTGTAAAGAAAAAAGGTGAATTTTGATTTTTCGCGGGCTGTGTACGATATTTTTTTTTTGTTATATGCTTGCATTAGGAAGGGTGAGTCCACTTTGTCTAAAAAAAGTGTTTATAAGTGGTACAAGCAGAGAACGTAAAAGAATTCATTAACATTCTCTGGTACAAGCGCTTTACAGAAAGCCGAGAACATGGATAACAGAGATAAAGAGATGCCCAACTCGTCTCTCACCGGAAATGAGAGCGCCATTGATAAACTCCAAAACCTACTGAACTCAAGCAACTGTCAAAGTTCAGTAGGTGTGACGTTTAGCAATTGGAAAAAGAGATTGTAATCCTACAGAAAAATAGTTGAACAGAGAGATTTGTTGCCGCTGTTGAAGATCACTAACAAAAATTACAAAAAAATAAAAATGAAAGAAAACGCAAAATTGAATTGTATGTGATGAAGTCTTTTGTGATTCCAAGCCTAGTAGTATTTATTTTCAATTGAAAATTATAAAAAACTTTTACTAATTGAGAATTAATACATTTTTTCACCTTTTAAGTATTGAAATTTCAAAAGTCAGTTGTTTTAAAATGTCCCAAATCACAAAAATGGATTAAAATGGTTTTTCTATATGTTTAACGGATACATGTATAATAAATATAATTTTAATAATAATTTTCTCCGATCTGGCTACAGTGGAAAATGTTATAAAAACGATCATTTTGAGGCGCTCCAGAGAACGTATATACTTTGACAACCGGCACACCATGAACCTTCTCTATGATATACGTTCTCTGGTGGTAGTTCATTGTTTTGGTTGTCATCTGTTCAGTGGCTCATGAACTCGTGGTTTTTCTTGGCAGCACTGAAAGTTCATGAGCTCTTTCAGAAGGCAAACAGAGGAGTTTCGAATCATTTTATCTATGAATATCAGTTTATTATTTTTCATAGGAAAGTTTTATGCTGAAGCAGCAATAATGAAAGTGATATTGTTTTCAATAAAATATAAAATATTTGTATAATTGTTTTTATCTATCTATATATAAAAAAATGAAACCCGTTTCCCGTTGTCACGCCATAACTTGAGAACGGCTAGACCGATTTGGCTGTTGTTTTGTTTGTAGTTTTATAATACTCTGTAGAAGGTTATTACGGAAAAAAATATTAAGAAAATGTCTCAGAAAGATTGAAAAAATACATTTAATTTTGCATATTTTAAAAAATACGCGCAACGAATGTCATCGTCATTCACAGCCATAGACTATATTGAAAGAGCATCGTTTGTTCGGAAATGTGGTTACATAATTGAATTCTATCGCACTAATTTACTAATTTTTGAAAATTACTCCCCACAATTAAATGTACCGACTTTGACGGTAATATCAGAGATCGTATATTATAGAGAAGGTTCAATTGCGGACCAGCGTGTGAATTATGATATACGTTCTCTGTTAATAATACCAGTGATGACATTTTAATGTAAGTATTTAATACAAGCGACTAGTGGCCACCGCTCCGCCCCAAACCCCCCCCGGCCAGTGGAGGGACAGCGCAGGTATGCGGACGCCCTCAAAGGCATTCGCATGGCTGTGCTGCCGCTGAACTACCCGGCGGAGGCGCTGGGTGCGGAGGAGCTCACATCGCTCCAAGACTTACTCATGGAGGAGGTATTCAGAGGATCTGGATACAAGGCCTCCTTCCATGGGGTATATTTCAAGGGAGGCATGCTGCAGGTTGACTGCAAGGATTAGAGGTCGGCTTGTTGGCTGAGGGAGATCGCTCCCAAGCTAACAGGCTGGAACGGCCCCATCCTCTGCGCGAAAAAGGGAGACGAAATTCCGCCCATGCACAGCATGACGGTCTTCCTCCCCAGATGCGCAGTAAAGTCTTACGAGTTTGCTTTAGGACTCATTCGCAATCAGAACGATGGCCTCGATACATCGGCCTGGCGGGTGACCAAGAGCATAGCGGAGGATTCAGGATGGAAGCTCAACCTCTGCATTGATGATTAATATCGGTTTTTAGTAACTTTTGATGACTACACAATATTAAAAATTCGTATACATGGTTAAACAGAAAATATAAGAGAGTAATTTTTTATTTTCAGTTTGATTTTCGTTTTTAAAAATACCACCAGCAGACGTACAAACTTAGACCGCAGAACTCGAAATACTGCAAGTCAAAGATATATTAAGAGCAATTCAAACAATTTTACTGTATTGAATAGTATGTAATTAATGTATAACTTAGCCACAGCAACGCGTGGGCGGGGTCCTCTAGTATAAAATAAAATTGGTAGCAAATATATGTGTCTAATTATATTATGTCATCCTTGGCCGAGAAGATGTTAATAACAATGACGGGGTGCGACTACGTCAACAAGCGAAGAAAACAGTGGAAAACAATGTTCTCGAAAATCGTCGAATGGATCGATGGACGGATGTTTTGGACATGAAACGTGTGGCAGCGAAGTTTGTTCCGAAATTGGTTAATTTTGAGAATCATAACCAGGCTGCCAGATGAGCCAAGACCGAAAAAGGCACGTTCGATCAAATGTGAAAGTTTTGCTCACTGTTTTCTTTGATTACAATTGTGCGGTGGTAATAAGGAATAATACAAGGAAGGTATACAACGTTTACGTGAAGCAATACGGCTCAAACAATCGGAATTGTGTTAAAACACATCGTGGATTCTGCATCACGATAATGCACCAGCTCACACAGCAATGCTTATTCGTGATTTTATGGCCTGTAATCATGCATCAACCACCGTATTCACCAGATTTGGCTCCCTTCGACTTTTTCGTATTCCAAAAACTGTTGAAAATGAAAGGAAAGCGTTATGCCACAATTGATGAGATCGAGTCAGAATCGAAGAAAGAGCTGATGGCCATACCGAAAAGCGCATTTGTAGTAAAACATAGTTTGTAAACATTTTTGTATTTTAATTTTATTCATATGCAGTTTTGTCTTTACACTTTGCAGAGATTCACATTTAAAGTTTTGTGTACATGTATTACATAGAATTGAGAATATTCCACATAATAGAGTATTAAATGTTAAGTATTCGAATGTTGCAAGTACATTATTCTGTATGTCCTAAGTTATGCACCTCAAAAAGAAGTAAATAATATCGTTCGTAGCAAAAATAAATTGAATGATATTTAGTCTTATTTTATAAATGAAAACAAAAGTCAACAAAAAAGACATATAAACATGTAAATAATCTCATATAAAATTAATCTTATGAAAATAAGTTTGTGAATAAGCAAATACATATCTTTGGTATATTAAGGAAATATGTAAGTATGTGTATATATATAAACAAGCAATATACCGATAATAGAAAAAAATTTAGTGAGATTTGACACCGTGTGAGATTTAATTTTTTAAACACAGTATAAAAATGTTATTTTCGCTTTGACTTATATAAATATTAAATGATAATTGCACAAAAATAGTCAACTCTTAATTTTTTGGAATAAAATGTCTGTGTTGAGTATTTAATCTACATCTTAATAAATATATTATTATTTAAGCAAAAATTATATGTAAACAAAAGCGAGCTTTTATCTGTGTGAAGTCTTTGGTTAAGGTTAGTCGGCAAGAATCTGACTTCTAATTTATAAATTTCAACGATATTTCAAATATCATTGGTTTTTTTTTGTTCATGACAAAATGATACTACAATACATGACTTGCATCAGTAGCTGCACAAGAAAATATTTTTTAAAAATTATGTTCAGAAATCATACGTTTCTCTATCTTTGTTTTTACTTATAATTGTACATGTGTGCGAATTATCTCTTAAAATTAAATTAACACTGTGATGGAATGCCTTGAGTGATTGAGTTTTCTAACACAATGTGGCAATCATCCAATGGTTCGAGTATTTGGATTAGGAATGTTAGAAGATTTTTGCGCCGAAGAAAACTTTCCTCTTCATACATCTCATGAGTGATTTTTGTCATAGCCATGGGTTTTATCATGCGTGTTAACAAATGTTCACTTTTATAATAAAAAGAATAATAATAATTAGTAAATTGAATTATATGTAAACAAATAAAATATATTTTTTTGATTTGATATTGACTTCAATTGACATACGCAAATTTCTAAGGCTTTTTGGAAATCGCTTAAGTTGTGCTGAATTTCATATAAACATGTTACACTTCAGCTTACCGCAAGCTCAAACAAATCAGCAACTGAAATTTTCCATCTTTTCCCAGTTGACAACCGGCTGCGTTTATCTCGTCCATTAAATGTACATAGTATCGCCAAATGGCAGACAATTCACGCCGTTGCAAACTATTTGCGCCACTCCCATCACTAAATGAGGAATCCATACTAGATGCGGAGTCATCCAACTGCTGGTGAAGTTGTTGTTGATGTTCGTGTTGCAAATACTGTTCAAACTGTTCTTTAATTTTAGCTAAATAAAATATATTAAGCAATGTAGTACCAAAAAAAATGTATGAGTTCAACTTACAAAAGTAATCCCATATATAAAGATTCTTCCCAAAGAAACGAGTTGAACGAAATCCACATAAGAATACACGCTCCAGGCATTTGACTAAACCGTCATCGCCGCAAAGTAAATTCGTTAATGTTCCGACATCACGGTCGCGACTCGGTTTATAGTGCCACTTAACGATGACATTCACACAATTGCCCAACTGATGTTGCAACTCAGAGGTGGGAACTGTATCCTGCCGTTGAATGCTTGGGCTGCGAGTGCGTGGTGGTGTCTGATTTGTGACTGTCGGCACCTCAGCATTCTTAGAATTTGTTGAGGCGCGTTGCCCAACTAGTAAACGTTCAGTAGAGTCATCATCGACTCCTTTGCCAAGCCAACGACCACAAGGAAATCTAAGTTTTTGGAAACGATTTCAGCAAATTTTATTTTAAAAAAATAATAACGGTTGATTTTCGTACTTATAGGTGTGGCCAGTAACTTCATTACGCATCACTACATGCTCCACTAGCCATTTGTGCGTAGGTCCCGAGTTATCGTGGCCAATGCGCATCGTTGTCAACAAACCGAGATTCTTATACTGTAATAAGTTTTTAACCATGCCAATGAAAACGATTATTAAAAAAAAAAGAAAACTCACATGAAAAATAAACTCCAGCGAGCCTTTGGGCACTGGCACCCGCTGTGTCTCATTCATAGTACCCGATACAATTATCCAAACATTACTGGAAGTATGATAGGAGCCATATTTACGGGATGGAAAAATTACGACTCGATATGGTAACTCTAAATGAAAGTAAAATTATGTGTTTGGTTAGAAAATATTTTTGAATTGCTCATAGTATAAACTTATTTACTCGTTGTTGGATAGGTATTGGTGAATGAGAAGTAATCCACCGTATTGAGTGTGAGTAGGTGATATAAGAATTGTTCCTTTTCTTCTTCACAACGCAGGAAAGCATTGCGTTTGTAAAGTGTGCGAATCAATGAGTCCTCCGAAAGTAAGGTTCTAAAATGACGCGATAGCAATTTTTTCTCAAGTGAGAGACGCACCCAGGCACGTGTGTAGCCGATGTGTGTTTTTATATCCGCCATGGCCAGAACATTCCTAAAAATATAATATCATTAAATATTTACAAACTCATGATTAAATCATTTAAATATAATCATAACGTACTTAACATCGAACTCCAATGACTCCGGCAAGGGGCATAATTGCTCAAGACCTACAAATTTATTGCGATCACGCGAACGACTGCGATTAGGACTGGGTGGATTGTCGACATCAGTTTGGAAAGTAGACAAATCTGCATAAATGTAAATTTATAATTAACTTATTTTTGTGTAGTACTGCAAATACTCACAATCCATTCGTTTGCGCATCACATTCCAGGCGAGTGCTATATAATAAAATATTATTTATTCTTTGTTTTCCTTAATCTTAATATTTTATACTACATTGTTATTGTCTACTAACCAGGTGTTGTACCGCCGTAATTGCCACTGCCAATTTTGTTACCTCCAAGCGCTTTGGGAGCAGGATTTGTTATTGTCGCCGTAGTGCTATTATTGGCTCGAGCATCTTGCAATTCCAGGTATGTCTGTAAATGACACCACAATGCCGATTTACCTTGTTTGGACTGTAGACCATGGGACCAAATCTTCTCCAGTAAATCACATAAGGAAGCAATTAAGGTATTCTCTTCAATACCATCGCCTTTAAGTCCCAATGCCACAGCTTCTGTGCCCATTTTCTCCAAAAGCATACGTTTTGTCTTCGATTTGATGTCCTAAAAAGAAGATAATATTTGTATTTTCGTTTATCTTAAATACAAATTAAAGTATTTACTTTAAGTAATCGTTCTACAAAAGTCCAATTGGCCTGTGCCAGTAAAGCCGGACTCACTTCAGCGGTTGAGAGATTCGCTGATAGACGGTTCATCTGTTTCTGGTCTATGGATATTTCCTTAGCTCGCCATTTATTACCGTTTTTTACACGCCGCAAACTATTTCCCCTGTAAAAATACATATTACGCGAAAGAGAAAAAAAAAACGAGAAAGAAAAGAAGAAAAAATACGCGTATTTGTGGCAAAGTTTTTGAAAGTTAGTTGGGTAAGTTAATTAGAATTTCTTATTAGGTAATGTTGTTATGGGGAACAGTCAAATTTTTATGGGTGCAATGTTTTAAAACAAAAAGGTACAGTTAACACAAATTTCATGAATAAACATTCTTATACATTAAAGGTTATGTTATATTAGTTAAAAAAATTAAGACTTAGTTACAGCTTGTATAGCTTAAGGTGCTGTATTTTTAGAATGCACAAAATATTTATTTAGGCATTGAGGGGTATTTTCAATTATTATTGTCAAATATTTGTATATATGAGAAAATATAATGCTATTGTTTTGAACCGTTATTTGACATGATTTAAGGCGCCCATATATTATATTTTCCTTTAGCTTATATAAATATTGCCTATATGGTTGCTAGCAAATGTTTAAAATATGAAAATATGTGTCTTATGGTTATATGCATCGATTTATGGGCAGTATATATTAACAATTGAAAGTCTAGCTAAAAAACGTAGGCAATTTTCATATCACTATTTCAAAAAACTTACAAGATATAGTAATAATTTTTAATTGGCATGCCAACAAAACAAAAATGACTTTACTCAATAGTTAAAACGCATTAAAATTTTATTGTCATTAACAGTTAATTCAACAAATGAACAAAAAATATAAGTGTTCACAGAAATATCATTGGAAGACCTTCGTTCTTGAATCATTAAAGATTTTCTATTCAAATATTATTTCTGACTACAACAAAAAATTAATAGTAGTTCTTATTACATAATAAAATAATATCAATCTGCAGCGATTTGCAGTTAAAAATAAATATTTTCCAGATTTGTGACGCAACTACTTAGTAGTGCTGGTTTAGTAATAGAAATATGAGTGAAATAAAAAAATCAACTAATTACATTACAACTCTTATACACTACTATGCACATTATCATTGTATTTATATTTATACTAACAACACAAGCTGAGCATTTGACCATCTAAAATATTATATGATAGACAATGAACAGAAATGGTAAACGCATAGACTTTTTACCCTTACAATTCGTGCATGATCTTTTTTAGAAGGTTTGCATATATTGTATATACCATATATGTATAATATGTCTACAACACGACAACAACGACAACACTACCTCGAAGCACACTCCTGATTTAGCACGGACTTTTCAAGTATGGGAAAACTACGAAAATATGCAGCTCTATTGGAGAGTATCTCACTGGGCGGTGTTACTTCAATGTCGATGCAATGTAGACGTTTCTCGTATACCTGTTGCGCCTCTTGTGACATAACGCAAGGCTCATAGCTGGTAGCGCAAATCATATTCTCACCATGCCGCTTTCTAGCAAACAAACAAAAAATAAAACAAATTTACCGATGAAAGAACTAAAAAATCAGCGCAATAAAAGCCTCACCTAAGGAGTTTCACTCGCTGATCGAATATGCGTAAATTTACATCTGGCTCCTTCTCCCACATAGCAAGGATTTTGTTGTCGATTAATGTCGCAAACATTTGAGATTCGAGAAAGCGCGATAAAAACGCCCGATGATGTTCTGGTTGGTCAGATAAAAATGAGGACTTATCGAAGTTTTGTAAACTTTCACGATTCGAAATCCACTCGTCACGTGCTTGATTCGGATAGATAACAAAAAATTCATATGCGTAAAACATGTGCACGAAACGATTAAGAAATGTCTCGCGCAACGCATTATTTATACGCAAGTCCTGATAGTATTGCTCTTCCAGTGACAGTATAGTTGTTGTTTTTGTGTCCCTGCGTGCAGCCGCTGCAGCTTTTGTTGGTGACATTGTTGCATCGACGACATCGTCGTTGAGTGAACCTGCACCCGGTGATTGTGTACGTACACCTTTACGACGAAGAAAGTCTGCTATGCGCGGTACGTGGTCGATTTTCGAAGGATGTGCGATGAGTGGTTGGTATTCGATATGATGACCAATGCCATTATCTGAAGCAGTTGGGCTGCCATGACCGCTACCGGCCAGCGTGTAAACAGTCTCTTGTAGTTGATTAAAACGTTCCTTGCTTCGTCGAGCCGCTTGTATACCCGACGGCAACGTGCAACTACTAATCATAACGTCGTGATCGCGCGTCGCATAACCATTTTTGAGTATTGGTTCATATGATCGATCTCTTTCTATATCGAATTTGTCCAAAATCGATATAATTTCTGCTATGAAATCAATTTTATGTGGAAAAACTGGCAACTCTTCCGGCAGTTGTATGATTTTCTTATCTATATCGACAAAACAAAGTGTTGCCTCACTGCCGATCTTGTTAGTGGACTCACAATCGGCATGAAGACCCATTACAAATGGGACGGGAGCATCCAAAAAGTGATGGAGGGCAGCAGGTAATATTGGAGCATACACATGAGGCCATACAAATGGAAATAGAATTGAAGTAATGCACTCACCAACGATCATTAACTTTTGATGGTCTAATTGTGGTACAAAAAAAAAGAAATTTACAAATTGTACTGAAGTCGAGTGTTTTTGGGAATATGCATACCATTTGAACGCAATAGAACTTGATTTTCGAGAAGGACACAAGTTAATAATTGTATTACACATTCTACTCCAAGGTATGTGAATAACAAACGTAATGGAAAGTCCAGTAATGGCAGTTCTGTGCTTGACTCAGGTCGTTGCAATACCACAGCTAAGGGTGGCAAGTGCGGCTCAGAAGGAGGCAAGTAAATTCTTATAGATTTCCCCGACTGTGGCAACATTACTTCGTACAAAATATTGTACACATAGGATTCGAGACTAATACCAGGTCCTGGTTGACGTGGAAGACATCTGAAAGAGAAATAAGTACAATTGGAATTTTTTATATAGCAAATTTCATTGTTCGAAGTTGCGCACTTATAAAGGTTACTGAGAAAAACTTGAGCAGCGAATGCATACGGAACTTGACATATTAGTGAAATACTTTTGGCGACAAACAATTTATCTTTTGCAATGTCATAGTAACTTTGTGCTGATTGCGGTGCTTGTCCGGCTACTTTAAAATGCCGCGGAAGCGATCGACTTACAGGACTTTCCCTTACACGGCCAAGCGAATGAGTTTGTTGACCGCTTGACAACTCCGTAATAAACATTGACTGCCGAATAGTAAAAGTTATTAATCAAATCGTATTGTAAAATTATTAAAACGTAAAATACCTGCAATGTGTGCATAGCACTACATATATTGCGATTACGTATTTCCTCATAGAACACTAAACTAAAACCATAACAACGCTTTCCATCTTCTCTAGTAGTTGCAAAGGAGTGAAATTTCGGTTCAATATCATGTTTCTGAGTTCGAAAACGCAATCCTTGGGGCAGTGAAAGCTGAAATTATATATATTTATAAGAACATAGAAAAATGTCTTGTATGGGCACAGACACATATCATAGATAATCTAAATCTATGGTATAATACTTTTGTAAACTATTAACATTCGATGTTATCTCTTCTAATTAATACATTATGAGTGGAAGAACACTACTAATATTTGAGCTTACTGATAAGATATTTATTGGGAATTTATGCAGGCTATTTGTAAATATTCAAAATTTGAATACGTAATTTGAGAAAATTGTTCGAAAAGAAAAAAAAAAATTTTTTTTAATATCTTCTATTTATTTTCATTGAGGTTGGAATTTTAAACCATATATCTAGTTTACTTTTGTCAACATACGTTGCCAAAAATTTTTTTTGGTAGTTTATCTCACCACTGTAGGTTACAATACGTCTTGTACATCACTGTTGAACTTAAGTAATTTAATCTTTAATTGAAATCAATTGAGGGCAGCTTTATGTGTAATAAGCAGACACATATACATAAATAGACACCAACAATGTACACATACACACATTTGTATATATTTTTCTTCACACTCCCATATATATGATCATAAAAAGTGTATATATGTATATATTAAAGAAAGATGCTCTTTAACGCAAACAACCAAATAGTCGTATTTAAAATGGTATACATATTTCATCACATACCATACAAATACCATGTGCATCAAAGGGATTCCATTGAACATTTTCAGGGTAGTGTGCCAATGGTTTCGACTTATAGGCTCGATCCAGAGGCGAACAATGCAAATTATCACCTTAAATAGCAAGTAAACAAGAATGAAAAAATGTTGGTGAAAATTAATTAGCGCGTATCACATTTAACATATTACTTTTTATTATACATACATATATTACAATTAATCACGCACCTGCAAAACGATCCGGCTCTAAGCCAGTATCTAAGTCCAAACCACATATCACAAAATAGTCGGCGAATCGGGAATATTGAGGATCAGATTCTCGTTTCAGCTGTCTAAGTTCGTGAGAACTCATCTCACCGGGTGAAGTTGGAGATGTGGCCACGCAATCAATCTTTGCCCCACTAGAACCAACTTCATTGCGATGGCAATTGCTAACAGTATTTTTACTACCACTTGCACCATTATTACTACTGTTATTATATTTTCTCATCACCACTTTGCTAGCCCGCTGATTATTGCTTATTGGCGCGGATGTGCCCGTTGGCGAATTTTGATGTGGTTGTTCATCAGCAAGAATTAAATTCGTCATTCGTTGAATATTGTTCTCCGTCGTCATAGTTTCACTATACATACATATGTACACTGCCTCCAAAATCACTGACAGTCCAAGCAACGTCAGTTACTTTGGCTGAGCACTAAGGCCCCAACAAAGTTAAGAAGATTTTCAAGGACACAAATGTAGTATTTTAATTCGTGAACGATTTTTTTTTTAAAGATAATTATTACATTTGAGGTATTAATATTACCTATATTTTTCTCCACTCCCCACTTTCTAAATAATTTATAGGTAATTTTCCTTTGTTTGATTATTTTCAGAAATATTGATTTTTCTGCAAGTAAAAAAGGAATGAACAAAGTACATTAAAAGTAAACAAATTGTTAAAAATTTGCCAACTGGTTATAAAATTAGAAATTTTCTTTTCTTACAGTATGGATTTGCGTACGTAGTTTATGTTTATTTGTTGTTGGCAGCAGCAAATGGTTTGTTGTTGTGGCTGGTCCAATTGACTCAAATATTGTTGAATTTTCTATTTCCTTCTGCCTCTTCTGCGCTTGCCTCTTTCGTTTCGGTTTCATCAAATACACAATAAACATTTTCACTTTGCCAAACCTTTGATCACAAACAACGCGTGTTAATTACAGTTTACCAATTAAAACTAAATTTTCATATTTATTTCGTTTATTATTTTTTATGATTATTTTTCTTAAGATTGGAGGAAACTGTTTCATACAAATTAATTTACTTCATCACCATCGTTAGATGGCAGCAAAATAAAATAAGGTCTAGACTATAGAGATTAAATATTCAACCAATTGCAGCAGTACAGATAAAAACTCTAATCCGATACGTGGATGACAATAAGACAAAATCCAGATTTAATAATTAAGAGGTAATTATAAATATTATTAAAAATTTGAAACATATTTTTCTTAAAAATTAATTTATGTGTACAGGTTATAGTGGTAGTGGATTAAATTTCTAATATCATAATTTGCAACTCTGGTTTGCAACCCTTCGTTAGTTACTGTTCAATGGTTGGTCTTTCATCGCAAAAAGATTTTGGTGCCGCTAATATTTTTTTAGGTTTTCCGCTTAACATTTTAGTAAAAAATATTAATTGCACAATTTTTCGGAATAAACATACATTTGTAAAACTTAATAGAATAATATTAATATAAATTTAATACTTGGGGTATCCGTGCAGTAAAGCTGTCGCACGGTGCCCATGTGGAAAATTTATTACATTTTTAAGCTTTCCGACTCTTAAAATACAAAAACTTGATTAAAGAATGGCTGGTGGAAATCAGGCGCGCGTCATTCAAGTGACGAATATTGCACCCCAAGCCACAAAAGATCAAATGCAAACATTGTTTGGTAACATTGGGAAAATAGAAGAAATCCGTCTATACCCAACTGTGCGTGATGTGTCCTGTCCGGTGCAATCACGCATTTGCTATGTTAAGTATGCGGAAAGTACCTGTGTTCCAGTGGCCCAACATCTAACAAACACTGTATTTATTGATCGAGCACTGATTGTCATACCTGTGCTGGCAATTCCAGAAGAATATCGCGCGTTGGAGATGTCCAAAAATGGCACAATCGTACCAGGTCTACAAAAGCCGGATTCAAAGTTGCCTCCAGAAGTGATCAATCGCATTGAAGGCCAGTCCCCACAACAGGTTAGTGTGTATTTATTTATCTTTGCAATTATTAACTGATAAATTTAGGTTATAAAAACTTACGATCCTAAATTGTTGGACAACAATTTACCCGAATATCCAGCGTTGCCCTCATTTTATGACGCCAGAAAAATTGAAGAAATACGTAGAACAATAATCGTATGCGATGTAAAGAATGAATGGCGTCTTGACGATTTAATGGAATGTTTTCAACGAGCGGGTGAAGTAAAATACGCAAGATGGGCCGAAAAAGATGTTAAAACTTATTGTATGATCGAATTTTGCGACCAGCCAAGTATTATACACGCTCTTAAAATGCAAGGACACGAATTCAAGGGAGGATATTTAAATGTTTATCACTCAACTGACTCCATAACCAAGCCGGAAGCAAAATCAAATGAGGCAGCGCAAGCAGAAATCGAAGAAGCAATGACTATTGTAAAAGAAGCTCAAAATATGATTTCAGCTGCAATTGATCCCGTAATTGGTATGTTGGCTAAGGATAAGCGTCGACGTTCCCGCTCACGTTCAAGATCTCGTGATCGTCGCACCAGTCGTTCGCGTTCACATCGTTCACGCTCCAGACGTCGTTCTCGGTCTCGTACTCGTAAACGCTCCCGTAGCAAGTCCAAACGACGTTCTCGTTCGCATTCTCGTGGATCACGTTCACGCAAACGCTCTAGGTCACGAAAACGGTCTCGTTCACGCCGTAAGAGTCGGTCCCGCTCACGTTCTAAACGGCGGTCTAGGTCCCGCGACCGTCGTGCTAAACGTTCTCGTTCACGTCATCGTCGTAGTACCTCCAGATCACGTCGTTCCCGATCGCGTACTAAACGTTCTCGCTCGCGTGAGCGCAAGCGTTCGCACCGTACTCGTGATGAGAAGCGTTCACGCTCTTCGCGGTCACACAGTAAACGTCATTCGCCATCTCCATCAACTCGATCACGTTCGAGTCGCAGCAAAGATATTGTTCCACCTATAAAATCGTCATCGTCTAAGCGACGTTCGCGTACTCCGGATCGCAAATTAAAGCCCATTTCAGAAGATATAGAAATTAAAAGCACACGATCTAGTGTGGACTCGAAGTCTCGCAAATCTGTTAGCGTGGAGAAATCGGACAACATGGATATATCTAATTCACCATAACTATTCTCTTGGTAATTGAATGAACAAGTCACCCTAAGTTAAAGTTTAAATTTTTAATTTTCTTCAGTATAATATTATTTATATTTGATGTATAATAATTTATGTTCTAACATATTCTATTATACCATTTTTTTACAATATTCAAAATTTCAAGAATATACTGTTTGAGAAATATAACCTTTATGTTTCTTCCGACAAAGCTATTACAATAAAGAATGCACTCTACCATATTATCCGCCACATTTTGTCTTTTTTTTTGTTTTTGGAAACAGAATTATATACTAAAAACTTTTGAAAGGGTTTTAATTTCTTTAGCTCCAAATTATCAACTTTGTACTTGTCATCGAGATATTAGAGATCTATAGTAGATTACATATTTAAATAAATTATATTAAAAAAATTTCGAATCTCCGCGTTGCATGTAATAATTAAAAACGTTGCTGAAAATTTTGTTGTTGATTGAACATCATTTGTTGTTGCTGCTGTTGTTGATGGAGAAAATCTTGAGTTTGTTGTACTTGCTGTGGTTGTTGACCAGGGCCAGGAGGCCCTGATAAACGAACTCTTTTAGCATTTGGTTCTTGTTGTTGCTGTTGCCTTTTGTTGTCGGCTTTATCTTCTTGATCATCATCTGTTAAAAATTCTCTCTTCGGATAAGGAATAGGAGTACCCGCAAATACGTCTTGCGTAGGCAGTGGATCTTCTTGGAAAAATGGATCTTGCATAGCTTGTTCTGAAGTGATTCGCTTATTAGGATCCATAAGTAGAAGTTTTTGTAAAAGATGGAATGCTTTGCTATCTGGCTTAATTTTGTGGCGTTCCATATATTTAGCTAAAGAGCATGTCGAATAAGTGGAACGTTTGAAATCTTTTATTAGAGTATGATGTTCAGGCATTTTTTTGATGTCCTCCCAATCTTTGTCTTGAGGAAATCCCATTACATTAAAAATACGATCCAATTGATCATGGTGATATGGATTACTAGTTTTGATGTCTTCTTGCCTACAGTGGAAAATTGGCTCGGACGTAAGCAATTCGGCGAAAATGCAACCAATTGCCCAAATATCAATTGCTTTTGTGTAATGACGCGCACCTAATAGCAATTCTGGTGCCCTATACCAAAATGTTACAACTACTGGATCTAAATCTGCTAACGGCTTAAGTGGGGCGTTGAACAGACGGGCGAATCCCATATCAGCAATTTTTACGCGTCCCCTCTCATTGCCATCACCCATTACTAAAATATTTGCCGGTTTTAGATCTCGATGTAAAACCCAGTTACTGTGCAAATAGTGTATTCCATCCAAAATTTGATACAATAAACTTTTCACCATTCCTCTCGGTACAATTACTTGCTTCTTGGCAGCTTTAGCAGCGCGATGAAACTTTATAATGTGCCATAAATCATGTTCGGCATAATCAATTAAAAGAAATACTTTACGGTCGTTGTGAGAAAGGAACACCCGAATCAATGTGATTACATTTTGATGTTTGAGTTCGCGAAGAAGTGCTATTTCTCGACAAGCAGACATAGATAAACCAGTACCGTCTATCTGCTTCAGTGCGTATTCTTTTCCGTCAGTACGCTCTTTCCATTTCGCTTTGTAGACATGACCATATGTACCGCGTCCAACCTTACAGCCTTCGTAGTTGAAGAGATCTTCTACTTTGGTTCGTTCCATTTGTGTCTTCATCTTAAAATCGTAATCCATTGCAAAATATTATTTATGAGCCTTATGAAAAGTATTAGACGCGTTAAACTAAATTAATATACTAATATTTTTGCTATAGTGGCGTCTATCAGCTGTTTCACCGCCTGTCAAATGTATGGCAGTTAATAAACTGTTCCTAAGAATAGTTGGCGTTGCTTCAAGATTAATCGATTACAACCCGACTCCTGCCAAAAGCGCATGGTTGTCAAATAAATGAATCAATTCAAAAGAAGAATCATAAACAAACTATTATATATGAAAAAATTTAATTGGTGTTGAAAGGTGAACCACAAATTAATAAACATGGGAAAAGTTAATAAAAACATCCGAATGAAAGCCAAGGCGGCGGTATCAAAAGCGGCTGCTGCCACCAACAACATTAAAACAAAAATGCAAACTCTTGGCAAGAAGGATGATACGGGTGTCCTCGAGGACAAACTTCTCCTAACTAAGACGCCTACTAAGAAAAAAGCAATTACCAAACGCGAAAAGGTGCGCCAGAAACACAAACATCTTATGAATAAATTCGCATTGATAAAAAAGCAACGTAAAGAGGAATCAGCGCGCAAAAATAGAGAAAAGACGGCGGTTATCGGTGACTTGAAACCGCTGAAAGATGCATTACCCTCCTTAGATGAACTTTTTAAATTAAGTAAACAATCGGATAGTAAAACGGGAATCAAACACATCGATGAGCCTCCATCTAAGAAGAACCCAAAAGATGAAAAGAAATTGAATGCTAAGCAAAAGTTGAAGAAAAAGAAGGAAAAATTTGTGCGACAAGTTAGCTCTTACCAAGCTCTACTCAAAGATCCAGATTTTAAGAAAAATCCTCGTGATGCAATTTCTTATCATATAAAATACACCCGTAGCCTTATAGATGAATAAAGTAGAACTAAACAATATATGTATACATTGTTTTTAAAAACATATTATAGGTATTTATATAATATATATTATTTGTAGCGGAAAAACATTCAATAATTAGAAAACGAATTATTCGTTGCAACTCGGGTTATTATTTGTAATAGTTACCAACAGTGAGCGTGCACTTTTGTTTAATAACCTTCCTTTATTTTTTTATTGAATTTAATGTTAATTCATTGCAATTACTAACTATCGGTTTCTGAATGTAAACCTCTTTATTGAATTTTTAATAACTTCGAAGAAATTCAAACTAGAAAAATTCATTTTTATCATATCATTTATTAATACTAATCTTGCGAATGAGAAGATTTGTGTACTTGAGCCAAATAATTGTTCTTAACTATTTTAGATCTACAAGCAGATTGAACTTAATTTACTATGGATGTGTATATGCTCTTGTGTAAATGAAATAAAATTATTTGTTTTTTATGCACTTAAGTTGTATCTATAACTTTTCAGTAATCAATCGTACCAGGAGATATTGATATTTGTCACTCGTATGATAATTTTAATGTGGTGTACCTACCTAATAATCAATAGAGTAATTTTTGAATACAATACGAAATATTTGAAAAAACTGCAAGCTTAAATCATTATTCTTCAATCTAACACAAACATAGCTGAGCTGCAACAGCAAAAGCTTACCTATGTGTTCTTTTTTCGGACCATAAGCATTTTTTTATTAATATTTTATTATAAAAAAAACCTCTATTGTTAGAAAAAATTAAATACTTTAAATCTTAACAGAGTATGTATGAATGCATACTCATATGTTTATGTCATGTAATTGTGTGTGTTAAATTAGTTTTGAGTTATTATGCAAGAACTGGGTTTAAAATATAACGGCCAAATATATTCTGGATATTGGTTAATTACCCGCATAACAGAATTAATGAAAAAAATCAGTGTGAACAAAATAACATAAGTACATATGTATGCTAATATAATATTTTAAACTGAAAGTAGCTGTTTGACAAGTAAATTAACTTTAAATTATGTTTTAATTTAGGAGAAAATGTAACTTTTCTTAATGGTTAAATACCAATTTATTTTATTAAATAAAACATTAAATGTAAGGTGTTCCAACTTTAATTTTAGATACCCGCTGTTAGGTGATCGGTAGTTAGTAGGTCTACCTTAAAAAGTCGATTTAGGTGAGTGAGAGATTTTAGTGCGTTTGATTTTATAAATACATAGCTAAATGAGGGTACACTTGCTAATTGTTTAACAATGTTTTAGTATTCGATGTGTCATTTGTCATTATATAACATATCAAGTGGTGTTGGCTCTTACAGTGACGTGACTTTTAGACACGGCTGTCCTTATTGATTTAGTAGAAGCATTAAAAAGTAAATTTGTATGTAGTACATTTATTTATTAATATATGTATATATGTATGTAAGTGCTGTAGTATACAATCTACAGTACATTGATCTATGTTTGTATGAATGACGAAAGTATTCATTACTTGTCTGTGTTTATGTTTTATGTATGAATTAATATTTATTTGGTACATCGACATAATTGTTTTGCTATTTATTTTATTAATAGATTAATATTTGCAATTATACATTATAGGTATTATTTCTTATATTCTGTTTTTATTTTAATATTTTCGCAATGTTTGAGATCCTTAGTAATATTAAATTTACCCCATTTTTATTTATAATTGAATCAAACGACAGCGAGAATTGTGTTTACTGTATGTAATGTTGTTGTAAATGTATTATGAATTGTGAAAAACTAATATATGCATGAATTTTTCGTAAAGGATTTACAATAATTTGTGTAGTGATTGGATACTTTGTAAATTAAAATTAATATTACACGTTAAAAATATTGTATATTGTAGTAAATGTTTGTGGTGAAATACAACTCAATTGTCACATAAGATTTCTTTAAAAGGCATAGTTAAATAGAAATTTGTAGAAACACTATTCCTCAAATCACTTTCGACCTTTGAGTTGACGCCAAATAAATATTGTTTTAATTACCAATTTACTATATAGTTATTTTTAGCCATATTCAATGTCATAGTAACGTTATTTTTAACATATGTTTAGATGTTGTCCGTTTGTTTTTGCATATGTAAATATCAACTTCACTTTTTACTTAAAAAGTATTCATAATTATAATGGATAACTTGCTAGCGAAATAAATTTGTATGTAATTATGTTATACATTCGTGCATACGTACATACGTACATACTATACATAATACACACATATACAATATAAATATATATGCATGTAGTATAAAACCAAACGATTGAAGGGTTAACATTATTGGATACGTGCTTTGCCAATTCTTAAACCCACAATGCACCGATGCGTACTTAATGAAATTATTTTTAAGCATTACAAACGACTTATGTAAATCATAACTTAAACTATGAAGAATTATTTATGTTTTAATTGGAAAATATATATATATGTATATCTATATATAAATGTATATATATATAATTCTCTTGTAAGTATAAATAAACCAATAAAACATTTACTTGTTCAGTAAAAACATCAAAAGGCTGCAATGAGAAAACATACATATTATTAACCCATTGAAAATAATTGTTTATGGATAAATAAAAACCGTTGAATCTTACCGGAAATTGATTCCTTTATTTGATAGGAGCCTATTGCATTCGGAGCTATCCGGCAGTGGCAGTATATAATAGTCACTTTCGCTGCTCTGTGGTGAAAAAAAGCATTAGTTGTCTAAAAATTTAGCAATAAATGATATATAAAGTAATTTCTTATCAATATTAATAAAATCGTGCCCCTGAAGATACAGTAGAGTTCTGCTGTTATTAGTGATATCAGGTTATGCTACAAAATATTATTCTACAAGGCAAATACATATCGCCAGCTAAAATGCAAAATAACGTATAATCTCTGCATAAGTTACAGGAGAAGTAAAAACGGCGTAAAATAGAAACTACTCGCATAGAAACAAAATTTTGCATTTGGTTGTTATTTGGTTATATTTGATGGTACGAACATAAAATTTTTAATTAACATTTAAATTAAATTTGTTTTTCACATATAATCACCAAAAACTTAAAAGTTATTTTTAAATTTCCAATCCCATATACTGTGTTGAAAAAAATGTAAGCCCAGAAATCGGACTTAAAATGTATTGCTAATTTTTAAACCAAACCTTATATTAAAATTTAAAAAATAACATTTAATTTAAATTTTTGCACGTTTCTGTATTTTGTGATCTACCATTTTGGTTATCTTTTATCTTTTGAAAAGGAAAGCTTATTTTTAATAAAATTCAATATAGTTTAGTTCTTGCCGTCTTATTTATATTTAGCTGCTTTTAATTATATTGTTATAATCAGAAATATGTAATGTATGTTCTTATTTCTTCTCACTCCAGCTTTAATTTGAATAATTTTTTTACTTTTTACTCCAATTTGTAAATTAAACAAGAAAAAAGATAACTTCGGTTACCCTTCACAAATGCAGAAGATTTCTTACATGAACTTTGATCGGCCAGTTTGTATTGCAGCTATATGCTTTAGTTGTTCGATCTCAACAATTTCTTCGAAGACTGTATCGATGCATTGGATAATAATATAATAATAAGACTCCCCTTCAAATACAAAAGTACAAGAACTTGATTTTTTTCGTTTAGTTTGTTTGACAGCTATATGCTATAGTGGTGCGATATCGGCTGTTCCAACAAATGACCGTTAGAAACGTCGTAACAAACTTAATACATTCAGTTCAGGGTATTCAAATATGTTCTTAATTTTAAATTAAAGATGTATTAAACATAATATTTAAAATTTTATTATTAAAATAAATATAAAATTTTCAATTTTTAATCCGAAACATCTTAAAAATAATTTAAAATTTAAATTTCAACACCAATTTCCAATTTTTCGATGACACGATATTTTGCATTTAAGGTGACAATATATTATAGATTATAAGCGTCTTTGCGATAGACGATAGGACACGAACAATTTAAATTAGGTATTTAAATCATTTTTCTAAAAGCTTACACCTCAACAATTTTGAATAGAAAATAAATATGTTCTCTCAATAACATCATTACTTATAAGACATAACAATTTAAATCAGTTTTACTTACTTGGTCCGTGAATTCATGCTTGTAAATTTGAGTGGACACTTTCATATCAGAAAAAGGTCCTTTTAAAGCAAAGAAGTGAATACTCATTGGTGTGCTGGTTTTTGTTTTCAATATAAGCTATAAATGTGAGAGTGTTATAACAATATTTTTGTAATTATTTAGGCAATAGATAGCAAAATTGCATGCATTGTATTACCTGATACGTTATGGTGCGCTCATTGGATTGATGTGGATCACGTTGGCTATTATTAATTCGAGCCTTCACCACCCACTGCTGGTTGAATGCCGTAAATCTAGCTGTCTCATAAAATAATTTGTGTACATACTCATCGGTACGATACGGTTTCATTTGTAAATCTGAAAAATTAGATACATATGTATGTGTAAATAAGTAAAAGAAATTAAAAATTACTTCAATAAGTTATCTTAATTTTTAATGGTAAATTCTGTAGTATTCTTATATATAATATAATATAAGCATAATTTAGGGATGTATATAAATTACCGTTAAATATAATTTTTTCATAACTCAACAAATCGATTAGGGTATTAAACATTTTCTTTTCGTCTTTAATTCTAGCGTCATGTGCTTCAAGTGCAGCCATTACTTCATAACCAGATTTGGTGGGATGCAAGCAGTTGCGCTCATGTTCGTTAGCTACATAGGCAAACAAATAGATTATACATGGACGTTCCATTTAACAAATTATGTAGGTACATACTTTCATGATTGGGACCACGCCATTGACAACCAATTCGTGAATATTTGCAATTTGTTGGCCGTTCTTGGCATTCATATTGTTCATGGCGATCTAGTGACTTGTATGGGAACTCTTTGTTGCAAAACTAAAAAATATGAATTGATAGTTTTAACATGTATAGGTATGTATATATATAAATGCATGTATGCAATTATATTTTAGAGTATTTGAAATACTTGACATTCGCTGGGCAACTCAGAGGCGGCTTTCTCCACGGCCAAATTACGCGATGCTGTGCTCTTCGAAATCTCCACACGACAATTTGGACAAGTGGCAATTTGATCACGCAAACTGTTGCAAATTATACAAATATAAAATAAACAAATACATATATGTAACTTTTAAATATAATATTTTAATCATTAGCTGTAAATGAAAGAAATGCTGGAATATTCACTTAATGGTCAATTTATCAGTGATAATTTGAGTTGTATTTATATGCATGTAAATTTTGGTAGAAATATATATGCAAGTATGTATATATTTTTATATATATGTCATACCGTCCATCTGCGAGTAAATGTGTAAAACAAGCAGCACACATTAAATGTCCCATTTGACACTGTAATGAGAATGGTAAGTGGTAAATAGTTAGAATTTTAAGAAAATGCCAAATACGTTAATAAATAATTATTTGTTTGTAAATTTTGTGTATGTATTATTTTATTTATGAATAAATAAGTGAAATCCTGTAAACGGGAAAAAGAAAAAAAGAATCTATTAGTTTGAAATCTTTGACGATTTGAACAATTTTATAATAGCATGGCGAAATGTGCTCTCCACACAACATATTACTGATAGAGATACCACAATACCACAAAAGTAGATCGCATTCAAAGCTGTTCCATCACATAAAAAGGATGCGAGCCGAATCACTTTAAATTAGGTCTACACAGGTGTGGCGTTTTTTGCAGCAATAGGCAGTAGAAAATGTTGTGTAGGACAACCTGAGTATAAGTATAAATGTATGAATATATTGATTGTATAGAATAGCAGGATAGGAACTTGATCGCATGAAGTGTTGTGGAAAAATGAGTTTGGACAAATGCGTTGGAGAAATAATTAATAGGCTTGTGTGAAAAATATTGCTTACGTGGTGAAATTAAATGAAGAAGAGTGAGTATATAGGTAAGTTGGCATATGTATTAAGTAATGAGGATAATATAAAATGGAAATTGTGGAAATGATTGTTTGGTGGCTAAGTGAATAGATAAGCCGTACTTTTCTATATTTTTCTTTTAAATAAAAACAAGCGCATTGTTTTGGTTTTCAATTTATATTGTGAACTTTTTTATTGATTAACTTGTCGATACTTTCTAGTATTATACAATAAATACGTTTCATAGGCGAAAGCTAGGTGTTGTCATTTTTTTTTTCATTATATATATGTATATATATTTTTTTTTGCATTTTTCTGTGTTGCCTATATTTTTTTCAAATTCGCACTTTTACTTACTAAAATAGTGACAACAAAATGAAAGTTTTAATGCATATATGTATGTGTTGGTACAATTACAACATATTCACAGATTTTTTGCTATTTCATCACTTATTGCATAGTTATTGATTACATGTTTGTTTTTATTTAAAACATTTTGTTTGCATTTACAAAATGGTACATTTAAACATTTCTCAATATAGGTACTCATAATCATAGGTATCTATATAAAATATTTTATTCGTTAATTTGTATTAATTATCTAATTGATAAATGAACTACGGATGTAAATTAACTAAATAAAACTAATGAAAACATAATATTTGAATTTTTAAAGCACACGATAGTATTCTAATTAATTAATAAGTTAGATAGTAAAAAATTATTTATAGTCAACCATTTAAGTGGAAAAATAAATTAAAAAAGTGATTTGTGTATAAAATAAAAATAAGTGAAAACATAAAAGTCAGCAAACTAGAGAATCAAAATAAATCACTAAAAAAATTATTAAAAATACTTTATAGAACGTTTTTTTATACAAAACTAGTAATGGATATTATGTTAGTTAGAAATTTAATCACATCTATTAACTACATTAACTAGGCGGATGAAAAAAGATTTGAAACTTTTTAATTTCTATTATTATTCCGAATCTATTATTTAAACAACTATTTTGCAAAAAAATTAAACTAACGGTTTGCTTTAGACAACCGGTTGGTTATTTGTATCACCTTAGCAAAATGAACTGATTACAAAATGATCCGAGAAAAAAAAATTATTCGAAATTTCATATTGCAATTGCTGATGACTTATATATAATACCAACTGGCTGTTTACATACCAGTTATTAGATTTTCTCCAAAAAATGTTTTTTTTTTCGTTTTAATATAAAAACGACCCGAATTATACGATTTAACTTTAAGTAGTATCATTATATTCTGGATTTGTGAAATTTTCCCAACCGATTTTATTTAATTTTAGTAATTTGAGAAAAATAAAGTCGTTCGTCATTTTTGCGATTTTTTTTTTTTATGTTGGCTTTTCTGAAAATGTATTATTTTTCACGATTAAAGCGTGTTGGACAATTATCAAATTTTTAGCTGTATTTTTATTCCTTAATTTTTCGGTAAAATTTTAATTTCTTGTTTTAGCAAATTAATTTCCATTTAAAACTAGATTTCGATGGGTTTAAAAAATATTTTGCAGCAATGGTAGTTAATGTTTAAAAAAACACTATTAGCTTTGATAAATTGAAAATATACTCAAGGATCGGTATACATGGAATCTACCTTCGATTGGAAAGATTTAAAAGTATTTACATTTTCACATTTCCTTTTAGGTAATTGTTCTATGCACATGCATATATATGTGTGTACATATGTGCAATTGTATAGATATGTGTGCATATGTACATACATACATATGTAATAACATTGGAAACAAGTTGTATTTAAAGAAAACACGATCAGCTAAGGGTAGATCAATTGTGAAGAACATTTTTTCAAGAGCGAATAAAAACGAAAACTACAAAGCGAACAGGAGTGAGTTAATGTTGAACAAATTACTATCCAGCGAACTAGTGAGAATTGTACCAAGTACTAAGAATCTAATCAAAATACACTATGCTATTAAACTTAAGTCGAAATGCTTACACTTTAACAATGCTGATATTTTTATTATTTTTAGCAACCACAAAATGTACAATAGAACGAACACTAAGGCAAAGATATCTAAATATATGCACATCGTAGAGTTGATATGGTTGTGGCTCTCTCTCTTTAGGATTGGCCTCCCAATATGTGCCAGCATGTATGTACATATGTTTACATCTATTTTTAAATGAGGGAAAATGCCCCCGACCAAAGACAAAATATTCAAAAAAAAAACATATATTTAAGTTAAAGAAGAACTCTCTTGCCCACAAATATCTGCTAGAATACCCCGAAGAAATTCATTTAAAAGTTGCTAGAAAATTGGGTGTGGTGGTTATGACTGAAAGATTGCTGTAGAACGAAGGAGGATGAGTGAGAATTGAGTGTGTGAAATTTAACAATTTCTTTGTTTACGATCTTCATTGCATCCCATACAACAATGTATATGTGCATATACTTACATGCCCACAAATATCTCTCAATTTTCCATATACTTATTAATTCATTCACACATGCAGACTAATTTACATCGGTGTAATTGCATTTAATTGAATATATTTTAGCGTTGCAATGCCTATTCAATGACCATGACCATAGTATTTACCGCTATCAGCATCAAAATCAATATACAGCGAAAAATCGCATGCGTTTTGTATCACAAAATAATACAATAATAATAAACTATCGAAAGAAGGCAATATCATCGGCAACGAATATTGTTGTATGTATAATCGAATTTAGTGAAAAACTCGACGCATTATCTACATACAAATGCTAGTTCTTTGCTTTAATCGAAGAAAATTGTTTGTAATTTCTTTTTATTAGATGTTTTATTTGTTTTTGTAAATATGTACATATGTATCGTGTACATGTAAATGTGTACATATCGCAGTCAAAGTCAAAGATTTGCAGTGTACATATTTAATACATTTTTTTCTTGACCAAGGAAATTCAGTGGACTTAAACATACATATGTATGTATATACAGACACATGTACATATGTTACTCTAACTATCGCACATGGATAGAAGTTCATGAAAATTAATTCAAGATTACTGCGGTTGAATGAACTTAAATTAACCAAAAAGCGCAGTTTTCGATGCAAAGCAAGATTTTTTCTTATGACATTGAAGATTTATCAGATACCTTCTAGAGCTCTTCGATAAATTGTTAAATTTAATATTTTAACTGGCACTACGGCCTATTTTACAAATGAACGGTAAATTAGAAAAATTAAAAATTCAGAGTTTATAAGTGGAAAAAATTGCTCGAACATTTAGTGTACAAAATACATGTACATACGTATTTGGTAGTGTAGGTACCCTTAGTAAACTATTAAAATAGTCAGGAAATTTTTAGTTTACAGCTACTTTTCTGCAGGGTATTTACATACATACATACATACATATGTATACATATGCATCAGTAAATTTAAAACTTCAACTACTTCTAACATCTATCTCTATTCTCTAAAATCGAATGTTCAAATGTATTTGAGCACTGAGGTGATGTTGTTGTTGTCGCTGCTGCAGCAGCACTGATGTGATCGCAGTGAGTGGTCATTCCATTATAAGCAGCACACAGAATACCAGAATACGGAAAGAGGATAGAAATCACCTTGAAAAAATAAATATTAGCAGAAACGATGTGTAATGGCTAGAAAAATTTGCTCAAGTAGCCTATGTACTACGTGTGTAAGAATCTCCACTTTATACGTACATATATACATACATATGTATATTGTAAAACTAATGAAAACAATAACACAGAGTTGTAGTGTTTACAACAAAAGCTTTAACAATAATAACAACCTGTAAAACCAGTTTGTTTCTTATTAGTTCAGCTGGCTAACAATGATTGTTGTGAATTCTGTCAGTTCAGTTTGTTGGATATTATTTACCAAATGCTGCCGTTAGAGGACAACCTGTAACTCATACCTTGCCCATGCATACCAATATCGATGCAAGTATATACCACATACATAGATACATATGTAGATACAGGTGAATAGATACAATAGTTAATTATGGCTCATCTACTTCCACGTAAACAATACAATTTTAGTAACGATATTTAGAAACCCAATAAACAAGGTAATATGTAAATAAAAATTATTTAAAATTCGTACTGACTTTAATAAAAGGGAATAGTCAGCAAATTTTCTGCATACAAAAATTCTATAAAATAACAAATTTACATTTCATTTCACTTTTTTTTATTAAATCTAATCTACATATGTACATATGTATGTATGTAAATATATAACAAAACTTTTTGCCATATATTATATAACGAATTTATTATTATCATTTGTGAATGAATTCGCATTGGGCCAGCTGGATACAAGATCATTCAATGCCTATGTGTGCGTGCATGCTTATTCTATGAATATCAGAAACAGCTGACTTTTTGTACTTGCTTCGCAGCGAGTAAGATATAATAAACACAACATACATGCATACGTACATATACATATGTGCGTATATACAGAGTGGTATATATTGTTATTCAAACAAAACATGTACCTATATGTACGTATATAGAAGAGATAAATACGAATGTTTACAAATGCGCACGCAGTTCGTAATCAATTTCCCCACAACATTGTAGGTGTTATCACCTCATATTTGAGGCATTAGCGCATATAAATGTATTACTTTGTACATATATGTACATATGTATATAAATAATATGTATGTCTGATAAGAACACATACATAAATATCATATGTATATATGTATGTGTATAGTCTAATAACTTTATGCATATCTTTAGTTTACCAAAATATCTAAAATAACATAAAATAGTAAATAAAAATAGAATTTTATTAATTAATTAATTAAGATGGCAGTACAAAATTTGTATTACATTACAAAACAAAACCAAAACCAGATGTAATACATACTTGTATTGTGATTTCAACACGTACACTTGAGTACGTGTTTGTCACTATTTATGTGAATTGATAGGTATGTGCATACATATACATCATCATCATATAAAAAACAACAGAATATCACGATGACGTCAAAAAACGATCAGCCAACACGCGATTCAGCAGCTATTTTTTCCGCTGCTAATATAGTGGTGAGTATTGCAAACCGAAAGTGAGCATAAACGCGAGCCAATATATGAAATATTTTTATACTTATGTACTATTCGTGTACATATGTATGTATTTATATATGTATGCATGGCATGTATGTAGGTTAAATTTCAAACAAATGACTTGCAAAACCGAGCTGAATTTTTTTATATCCATACATATGGTATAAATTAATAATTAATCTAATGAGGAGTATTTAAAAAAATATCTATGGAATTTTTTAACCCATTAGTTCTTAATATTTTCTAATATAACATTTAATGAATTAATTTAACTGCAAATCAGCTGGATATTAAATTTGACCCCTTGACAGTATCAGAGAATGTTAATGAATAGAGAAGACGCAAATGTTAAGTGAAATCTTTTTGTGTACTCATTTGTAATTCCAGATGAGGGATGGTGAAATTTGAAAATAAATACATAAAAATATTTTCTAAACAGAAGCGACATTTTTTCATTCATGTCATAACTGAATCAACTAATTCTTGGGTGTTTTCTAAAACATATACATATATACATATACACACTTACATACAATATGTAAAAATGAACTTTATAACATTGTAAGAGGGAGCTGGGGCATACAAAGACAAATCCACCACTGAAAATAAAAAGACGCAATAGTGACAACTTAACTGCGCCGTAGACATTCATAAGTACTTACATACATACATACCGTATATGGTTACAGGGGCTACCATCAGTGAATGCATGTTTCAGTTCACATAATCAAGGGCAAACGAAATGTATTGAATAGAATATTTCACAAATTGCGTTTTTTTATAGTTTCTCCCCTCTTTCACCATATATTCGCTGTTCGCCTTTCTATTAAAACCAGTTACACCAAAACTATTACACTTCCACCGACGAAGTCATCACCAACTTTCATTCAAAATATAATAAAAATACCTAATTCTAATTCTTATACACTTTTGGTATGTTGACATAACAGATAAACTCATTTAGGTATCAAAAATATCAAATTCTTATCATAAGTGCCATATGACGACATGTGAATAATATATTCCTATATAATAAAGACCACTTCTCAAATAATATATGTATGTATGAATATGCTTATGTACATAAATACTTACATATATATCTAAATATGTACATACATATTATAAAACCCAGTAGCAGAACAGAAGCATCAAAAAGTTTGTGAACACAGAAAAAATATTGAGTTTACATACCTAAGCATCAACGTAGATATGTACATGTGTAAGTACATAAACGCTTATGTATGTATATATATATTCACTTTATGCTCGTGCATTGATATTCTAAACAAACTACGCAGTTCCCTTTGTGTATGTATACAAGAAGTAGATAAGTAAAAGCAAACTCAGCTGAGAATTAAGCCAATTGAGAATAACAAACAGCCGATCAGATACGTAACCAGTCAGCCGAGCATTTAGAAACAGTCCCACCCTACGTCCCTTGGAAAAAACCAAATCACTAAGGCAGCCATATTGTACTCACACCAATACATACTCTGGCCAACCAATGCCCAACGATTATTTTCCACCATCCCCAGTTAGAACAGAAAAAATTCTCTTATAAACAGTGGCAAAAAGTTTTCTTATTGGAATTTGGTTAGCTAAAACCAGAGAACGTTTATGAATATTCATAAACATACTTTGCTAAAAGATAGCCAAATTAAACATTTTATATATGTTTACGAGTATGAATCATAATAATTTTAAGTATGAAAAATAATAATTTTTCGAGTAACTTATGTAAATTTCTTATGAGGAAAGTGGAAGTAAAAAGGTAATTCGATACAATGGGAACAACAAAAATGGCATATAACAACGCACAGCTGATATTTAGACTGTGTTTATTTCATGAGTTAACGCCAATAATTGTTGTTAATTAAATGAAAACAAATTATATTATTTATATTGCAAAATTAGGTTTTCTTATACACAAACAAATTGTTGGCATATCATAACCAAAAACATTTTTTCTTTAGCTACAAATCCAGCTATTTATCTACCTGTTTTTTTATATACAGCCGTTACCTTTTTACCACTATACTTTTACGGCATTTAAAACAGTCCTTTCTTTTTTCAACACTAAATGTCACTAAGTTGGCTTGAACAAATTAACTAACGGTAACAAATTAATTTTAATAAATAAAAAAACAATTAAAATGTTACCCCTACACAATGCTAATTTGAACATTTTTGTGTAACATTGGTACTCACCTGATACATTGCTGTCTTAGGCAAATCCAAGCAAACAGCACAACATAAAATCCCTCCCAGACGGTACTCGAGTTTTTCATGTTGCGAAGCACTATTCCCACTACCCGCAGATGTGCTCGGATGGTCGAGCATTTGTTTCTTAGCTGGTGGCTCACCAGAGTCCATTTTACCCCCACCAACACTCGATGGATTGCCACCACCCACTCCACTCCCAATCACTCCACTATTGACCAGACTTGAATTTTCACTAGATGCAACATCCAATGCCATAGAACTGGCATTGCTGACCGAATTCGAGGAAGTGCCAGCGCTACCACCATTTCCTCCACCAATAGCACCAGCAATAGGCTGTGATTGCTGCTGTTGCTGTTGTTGGAGACTTACTTGGGCACTATTGCTTTCACCGAGTAACTCGGCGGATGCCAATAGAGGTATAGAATTTAGGTTCATGCTATTAGCGTTTGTAGGTGGTGGCTGTACGACAGCACTTGATTCAACGTCAGCCATTTTTATAATCTAAACTGTGGTTTAAGTATGTATTTTTATTTTATTTTTTAGCAAAAACGTTTTTTTTATTATTGATTCACGAAACACAATTCTGAGCTTCTTCAACCAATATTTCGCCTAGTATGGTTATATATGCGATTGCACTCCTCCTATTTGTCCCCCTTTAATCGATTTTTCGGTTTTACGGTGCCTCAATTTTTTCTTTGCTGACGAATTTATTTATTCACTCTTGCGTAAAATTTTGCTTATACAATTTCTAAGTAAAACAATTCTTAATTTGATCTCTTCTATATAATAATTCTCTCTTTGTGTAAACTTTTCCGTTTGATAATTTTCAGTCTTCCAATTCCAAAAATAAAAGATTGACTGAAAACAAATGGAATTGTAGCTATATTCTTTTTTCTTTGTTGGGAACAGTGTTAATAAACCGAACCGCTGTCAAATATGTACTTATCGAGCGAATTCAACTCAAAGAATGAATACAAGAACGAATGGGCAATGTATTTATATTTATGTACTCTTCTTATTAGACACCAGTGTTGGGTATTCTATAATTGCAGTGCGTTCAGATGCAAGATTATTGTTCCTAATCTTTCTTCAATCTCTTTGGTTCTATATATTTATTCGTTAAAGAATATATACAAAAAACATCAGAAAACTTATGCAACTGACTACACATAGTTCAAGTTTCGTCAACTTAGTGCTAGATGTGAAAATTTTAAAATAGAAAAATGTTTAAAAATTGAATTAAGAGATTTGTTTTTCTTCAGTGGCAACGCCACAATCAGCTGGATGTCATAAGCGAATATGAAACACAGAAAATTAAAGATTGATTAAGCAAAACAAAACAATAGTTTTATTAAGTTTCTGTATCTAAAAATTTTAATATTCATAATAGCGATCAAATGAACTTAGTTATAGTCCTATGCTATAGATAAGATATGTCCTTTGAGCTATATTTTGTAAACAAACATTAGTCCAATCAAAAACATGTCGAAAATAAACTTTGTTTCCTTCCCTTGGGCAAAATAAAGGCTTTTACGGTAAAGACAATGAGGCTACTTTTTAGCACACATATAGCTATAAGAAAAAATATCTGTATTGAACGAATTAGCAGTTCCTATGGCATGTAACTCTGTATATCGTATATACTTTATAGATGGTTAGAAAGCTTGCGTAAAATGGAGAATCACCTGAAAGTCGTGTACGTGTCCACAGTTATAATATTATATTATTATTTTATCTTAAATATATAAATGACATTATTTTTTAATTAAACCTTGTTACAAGTAATTTATTTTTGTAATTTCGTTTTGTTTATTTAATATTCATATTGTTATTTTCATATTATATTTAGTTTTCACAGAAATAATAATCCCTAATAGATATATTTTATCATTACCATTATAAATAATTTTTACAAGCGGGTTAAGGCATACCTAGCTATCATGCCATAGATGTCCCTGTCAGAGAAAATCATAATTGTGCTGCCAGCAGCTACAAAAGTCACTGTTACTCAAATATCATTAATCATGAGTTTAAATTTAAAAAAAACGCCACGACTTATTATAACAAAAATATTTACTAACTCATGTTGGATTTGTATATTGCGACAAATAAGTTTTCAGTTCAAAAATTGCTATATTTGAACCTTTAAATGGAGATACAGCGCAATTTCTTTTGCTGGCTATTGGCATCCTTAGATGCAGCACTGCTGCTTACTTAGTGTTTTTGTATTCGTAGAATTGGAAAGTCTGTGCGACCAAAATTTGCTCCTGATTTTTGTTATATATTTTTATTAGAAACTTGTAAAAATTCTTTGGTTAAAAAATATTAAGCTATTCACGAAGAAAAAATATTTTAAATAAACTTAAACGTACCCGCATATAGATAAAAAAAATTTGGTTTCGGAGCTGAAAAAGTAAGCACAAGAAAAACAATAACCTTTGCAACATACGAATCATCAGCAAAGGTGAATGACAAAATAGATAGTTTTCCGAGTTTTTCTCTTAGTTTTGTTTTAATCATATTTTGAGTGATGAAAATTGTGGGAATAATTATTATTAGGAATTATTACTGTAGTTTATACTATTTTAGAAGTGTAATTTAAAAAAATCGCTATTTTCAAAAGCGAAATAGTACCAAACGAGCAGAAAATCTGCGAAGTATCGTAAATAGAAGAAAACCAAAAAACGTCATCAGTTGTCATCGTTTTACGTTTTGCGTTATTCTTCCACTCCCATTCTTAAATTCCTACTGGTCATAGAATGCAGACGACCTAATCATTCATCCAGTATTCGTTCGTCAGAAAATTTGGACGGTAATACTAGCAATATTGCGTGAAAATTTAAAGCGCTCGTATATAATATAAATTAATTATAAGTTGTAAAAAATCGAATAGTGTAAATATAACGGAAACGTAAGTGCAACGAAACTAAAATTGTAGAAAGGTGAACATATTACGAGTGGAAAAGAAAGAAAGTAGTAAAGAGCAGCTATAGAAGAAGGGGCAAACCCAAAACTGCAACCGAACACATATATGTAGACATTGGTCGCTATTGACAGCAATAGTTACAATAGCAAATTCTACACAAATTGCACAGAAAATCATCGTCGTGGTATCACCTGTCCTAGTTGTACTCCAACCGACAAAAGTTCCTCCTGAGTTTGCTATACTCCCCCATATGTGGTTTTACGTGTCATCAGCAATATATGCCTAGTAAGAAATATAAAAAAAATATATAATAAAGCGCAGTGCCAAAGTTATCATTCGAGCAAGTAGCTAGTACACCAAACAGGCAGTGTCTCGTGACATTGCTCAGCTGAGGCTTAGCGCGACTGGGGCCAAACGGAGAAACTTCTACAACAAGTTAGTGTTCGCAAAAAGGAAAACAGCAGTCAGACTGCAAGCAAGCAAATACCTAATTACGCATTCTACCTATAAGGCTCAGGTGAGCCAAATAATTCTTTTTATGATGATTTTTATTTTTTTGTTTTAAACTTATCAACATACTCACGAGCAATATTTGATTGCATATTTCAAATAAAAATATCGGCAAATGTATTTGCTTCTTTATGCACACCTCGATATGCAATCAATTGCTGTGTGGGATGTACATATTAATTTCGGACTCCAGCAAGTTTTACTTTATAAATGTTTGTTTAGTTTTGTTCGTAGTTTATTGTTTTAATTTTGGTGTGCATTGTTTATTCCTCTGTGTTGCCATTTCCGACATATAGTGTAACTTATTGTTAGCTCACTTAGCAGAATTCAATTTAATTTTCTTTGTTCTTCGACGAATAGTTTTTCTTATCATAATATTATTTTCGTCGCAATGGAGTTAATTAACCATGCAAGATGCATTATGAATAAAGCACGGCTTAGCGAAAAAACTGGAGAAAAATCTAATTAGTATTCAAATAATGTCGCCGTCAGCTACTAACTTCAACTTGTTTGACCTTACCTGAGCAACTATGATGCTGCTTCAACAACCTTAATTGTAACCTAAAACGCTTTGGGTACTCAGCCACGCCATATGCTGGTACACTACCTCTTCCATGCACTACATTTACGCTCATATTGCCGTCAGCCGGAAGCGTTACTAATCTGCTTTGCCGCTTTGATTTTGTTCTTCGCTATTATACACTTTCTGCAAAACCACATAGTTAAATATTTTGCTTATGTGGAGTGTACGTTTGACGTTGTTAGGAAATTGTTTTAAACTAATTTTAATTCTTTAAATATTTGTGTGATCCAAAGATGTTTTTATTTTTGTAAAAACGAGCGAATTTTTAGTAAATGATAACTGTAAATCAGCCCACATTTTGTTATAATCCACTTTAATTTATACTGCCTCGCATTTATTTACTTGTGAAAAAGCTAAGCTTATGTGACAAAATATCAATATCTCAAAATATTAAGTGATGTATATATATTTTTTTTAGTTTTGCGTACTTTTATTTTTAAGCAAGTCATTGCGCACGCAACTATATGCTTAGATGAAAGTAATGTTATGCTTTATCATCAACAGTGAGTTTTCTTACAGCTAATAACTGCAGTTGTTTTTGTTATGCTGATTACACCATCAATTGTTGCTATGTTGCACTGATGCAAAACATAACACAAAAGTGAACTAACAAAAAGCCGCAATGTGCATTCAATGTAGCGCATTCAATTTAGTAAATTTTATTGTTGTTTACTCTCGAGAAGATTTAGTTCAATACGGTTTTACCTTTTATTTGGAGCACATCAAATATTTCGTACAGTATATATTATACTGAATTAAAACTATTTTTACTTTCCCAAACTAAAATAATTTAACTTTCTTTTTTTTTTATTTTTTTTTTATAAGGAATATTGAATGACTAGTGTGTTTCAATGAATTAAATGGCAAACATGTGGCTTACTTATACATATGCACATGTGGATATATAGTGTATGTTGATATTTATGTATGTGCAAATCTACATGTACAAATTGAGCTGTGTCATATGTTTGCTATCGATCATTATTTTCGTACTTGCACTTACGCACCTTCAAGTTTTTATCGTCAAAAGAGTATTGTTATACTCTGAACAGGACACTCTCGTTTTAGCCATATCCGTGTGCCCGTCCGTTCGACTGTTTGTATATACCCGAACTTGTCCCTCAGATTTTGAGATATCGATCTAAAATTTTGCACACGTCCTTTTCTCTTTAAGAATCTGATTATTTGTTGAAACCGATATCGGAGCATTATATTATATAGCTGCCAAACAAACTGAACTATTAAAATCATGACCTTTTATGAAAAACTTTTGTATTTGATTTTGGATGTCTAAAGCAACTGTATAATCATAGAAGAATGTTCAGATCGGACCACTTTAGCATATATGTATGTACATGTATGGCAGCTACAAATTGAGTTCTTGTATGTTGTATGGAATTTTTTATATTTGTGAAGTTATTATGGTTTCGGTGCAACCTAAGTTAACGTGTTTTTAAATTTTTGCTTATCAGTTGGTTAGGTATTTAACCAGTCATTTCGCACTTGTTGAAATTCGAGAGCGTGTGATATTTGTCGTTAAAATTTTAAAGGGAAACACACGGAGGGTGGTGCCTTTGTTCGAAAGAAATGTAATGATATAATATTTTATATAAAAATAATGACATTTTTTATGTTGTGATATTAATATAACATATGTTAGGTTAAAAAAAAATGTATGAACTTATAATTTATTGTTATTCTTGTGGCATAAAAATAGTTTTGGAGAATGCTGCTGAATAATATTCATTTAAATCCATATTAAATTTCAGTTTCATTCTAACAATTTGTATAATCTCTTTGCAGACTTTTCAGGCCAAAACTTTCCTCTAGCCAACGTCAATTGCATCTTAAATAAGAACATTTCTAATTTTGCCCAGTACTTTGTCTGTTTAGAATATTTGATTTTTATCACTGAAATGCCCGATAACAATTACTTCATTGAGACAAAGAACTTATTTTGAGAAGTGCAATCACGACAACAAAAACATACTTCAAAAAAATATATTTATATATTTTTATGACTTTGTTTAGTTATGCTTTGTTTTGTCAGCACCATCGCCAAAACTCCAGACACTTAACGCCCACTGTACTAACAAGCAGTTGAGAGCAAGCAAGTGCAAGCTTTCGAGATCAATGTACAATGAGTAGAGGTTTTTGCGGATTTCTTTGCATTTAAATGCTACTGTGTGTGTTAAGAAGATAGCCGATGTGTGTGTTAAGAAGATAGCCGATGTGTGTGTTTATTTTATATGTATGTATATACACTGATTTAATTTGCCAAAAAATGCATTGAACTTATCACATTGAAGCTTTAAGCGCCAAAAGCCATTTACATAAATAAACTGTGTGCGCTCTGCTCTCAGCCTCGAGGGAGGTGGCGGAAAGCTGAAGTGAAATTGTCTGAAAGTCAAGTTCATGCACCCGTTAAATATTAACTACTTTCATCATGGCCATTGTATGCTTTCGCGCTACCACTACCAATTAAGAGCAGTTAAATATCTACAAACACTTGCAAAACATTTAAACTCATACGTATGTTTATGTTATATATACAAGTATATAAATATACATAGGTATACATTTGATACATACATGGAGGTATGTATTTCATTCTGCGTCATCTCTTGATATCACATTTTAATTTTCTCTTTGTGCTTTTTTTTTAAAAACCTTTTTTGTGAGAGAAGTACCCGTTAACCTCTTTTAACCGCCGACATACATATATATTCAATATCTGTATGTACATATGTAATTTTTAAATGTGTGCTCTTGGCGGAGCAGTTGTGCCTGTTTATGCTTTCCGTTATTTTTGTCAATTTATGCAAATGAAACGATGCTAACGATTTTTAATTAGTAAAAGCAAGAGTCGGTCAGTTTGCTGCACTCGTTCACACAATATAAGTTCATTCATAATTGCTAGCGCTTTGAATCAGCGGTGAAATTTGCATATGTAAACTATGTATGTATGTATGTCGGCCATATCTGTGATAACGTCCGTCAAAATTATGAATAGTTTGTTTTTTCATTTCATTTTGCGTTCGGATTTGTTATGCTTTTTTATTTTTTAATTTTTAACACGCTTTTTATACTCGCAACATGTTGCTACAGAGTATAATAGTTTTGTTCACCTAACGGTTGTTTGTATCACCTAAAACTAATCGAGTTAGATATAGGGTTATATATATATAAATGATCAGGATGAAGAGACGAGTTGAAATCCGGGTGACTGTCCGTCCGTCTGTGCAAGCTGCAACTGCTTAGCAACCAACTTCGGTACATAACATTCTTCTCATATTTCTATGTTATAGTGCGAAAATGGGCGAAACCGAATTACAACCACGCCTATTTCCCATATAACAGCATTTTAAATTCCATCTGATTTTCGTTTAAGTGCGAATGAAATGAATGCGTTTAAAGCCACCTTGTGACAAAAAATTATCTAAATTGAACCAAAACTGTTCACACCCATAGGTACTGAATATCGGTCAATGTGTAAGATATATAATTAAAATTATATATAATAAAATAAATAATTGAAACTCTCGATAATAGTATGTTTTTGTGTCAAAAATGGGTTGAATCAGATCAATATTTCCTTTAATATAAAATTGTAGTAATTTCCCGGGCTTTGATCCTTGCATGTTGCGAGAGTATAAAATGTATAGTTACATCCGAACATAGATTATTTTATTATTTGTATTACTGATATAACAATTAAGTGGCTTTGTTATGCCTTATATATTTTTTGTATTCTTCCAACCTCATATTGCGGTTGTAAATTTTTGCTACGCGGTAACCATAACCAAACTCAAATTTATCATCAGAATGTCCAAAAGTGTGCTGAGTAAATAGTTGTCTAACACACCTATGTGTTCTTTCGTAGAGCGTAGTTGCAGTTTTAAGAAAAAATTTAGTTTCTAATTTCAAGTTGCGTGCCTCGTAGAGCTCTCGGTCTCAATGCCTTCAAGTAGATTTTCTATAGAATTTCACCAATTTATTATGCACACCATCATTTCGATCGGTATTTGTAGTTTTTTTTCTGACTTTTATTGAAGGCGAAATGCGCTATCACAAAAATTACCGTAATTTACACCTTTGTGTGATAAAGAGCATTTTTGACAACTTGCCATTTCATATGAATACTTACATATCTATATTTCTTTGTGTGCTTATATGGGTAAGTATATTAGCACGAAAGTCTTTTCGTCTATAATCAGCATACTTTAAATATGTGTATATACTTGTATATATGTATGTATGTATGTATGTATGTATGTATGTATGTATGTATGTTGAACAAACAAACATCAGACGTTAAGGTAAAAAATCACACACACTTATACTCAAAAAAACTGGCAAATACTTGACAGCCTTCATTGCAGTTGATAAGATTACGTTAAAAATATTTATAAAACAGAAAATGG